ACTTGTGTCTGCATTATCTTCGCCATTTTGGTTACTGCTTACTTATTATTTTACCTATTCAATAATAGTCTTCGAAAATACTGGACCGATTAAAAAATTTTCTCACCTACGGGAATCTACATCATAAAGACATAGGTTTAAATTAACGTGAGCGAAATCGCGGGCAACCGTGTTTCTGTGTTCTGTGGGGAAAACATCTAGTGTAAAATATAAACTCCGAGTAACCCCGGGCTACAAGGGCCCGGGGTTTTCGGGAGCAAAAATTTTTAGCCTCCATTTGGACCTCATAATTTTGATACGGTAGAGGCCCGTATCATAAGTTACGCCATTATATCTGTGGTGTATATAGAAATTTACTGAATTATTTTTCCCTTTTATAAAGTCGTTTTTATCATTTAACATAACCATATATTGATAATCCATTAACTAAACTACGAAAACATACATGTTGGTAATGAAAAAATCAGTTTTCTAAAATTATTTCATATTAACAACAATCTCTTAACTTAAAATCATTCAAATGATAAATACAATTAATACAAGTAAAAAATAACAGAAATTTATTTTTCAAACGTAATCGTCATCTGCCCTGTAACGGGGCTCAGGCCTTCCTTATGGATGGTTAAGGACGATGGGCCATAACCCTCCACGCAGGCCCAATGCGGATTGGGGGGTATTAACGACGGCAGACGCAGCCGGAACCAACGGCTTAACGTGCCATCCGAAGCACGGCGTGGTTTGTGATACAAATTTTTTGGTCACCCATCCCGTGACCGACTCTTGCGAAAGTTGCTGAACAAAAACCATCGCGGGCCGCAGCGCTTATCCACTACGCCACCGAGCTACTCGACGGAATAATTATGATTAATTAGAAATGTGTTTATTTCAATAGGTATTATTTTCTTTCTAGAGATCTCCACAACTCAGCGACTTAATTGCACCTACCTTGCGTGTTCATTTCTCTTTCTCAATAGGTATACATTATCATTGACTAAAATAAAAATGTTAGAAAATTAATTAAACCGAATACTTTATATGTTATTAATAAGTAGCTGTGTTAACACGACATCGCTCACGTAATATAGGAATAGGCTCCGATTCTCTGATCCGATCCGATTTGAATAAACAATCAGATCTTTAAAAAAAAAACAAAATTATTTATTCAGTCTAGGCTGTTACAAGCACTTGTGAAAGTGGAGAGCTACGCCATCGGTTCGTAAATATACGGCGGAAATCGGCAAGAAACTCGGCAAGGGCTGCTTTTTTCAGGGAGAACAGGGAGAAAAAAGCAGCCTTAATTGCAGCATTAAAATTAAAAGTAAAACAGTATATACGTCAATCGATTCACATGTCTACTCAATTCTCAAACAAACTCACCGATAAATAATTTAATATACATAAAAATAAGCCATATTTAACACCAAGAAGTTTTGTCCTTTAAATATTCACTTACAGTATAATATCCTTTACTGAGTAGACCATTCTTAATATGAGTTTTAAATGGTAAGTTTAAAATTTCCAAAGAAACTGTTCTCTTTATAATATCAGTATGATTAAGCTGAACCGGCGATTTTCGTACCGCCCTGTTTGTATAGGCATAGAAAAGTTTTTTACTTCCTCATTATCAAATATAGCCTTCAGTTCTGCTATTTTTACAGTCAGCCATGCTCGTTATTATATTTGATCAATTTTGTATTCACAATGCTATATTCTTTTTCTTCTTTCGTGCCAATGGCAACCAAAACTAAATGTCACCGGCCCAGAACTCCGCCACTTTTACGGCGCTATCTGCAGCCGTCATGAGATCCTCCTGCGAACAGGTGTAGGGGCAAGCGGAGCAATATATCAGATGTGCAGTGGTCTGAGGAGTATTACCACACCTGCACGCAAGGTCTGCAGTATTAGTAAAACCCCACCTGGACCGATTGTCTTTACTCCGGCCGACCTGAGTGCGGAGTCTATTTAAAGATTTCCACACGGGTCTGGGGAGTTCGTGGCCAGGTCCCGGCTTCCTCTATTGGCACAAACGGGAAAGGTAGAAAGGCGGAACTCAACCACAGCTCACGCCTAGCTAAGGAGGCGTCGGAGTTCAACTCCGAAATGCTATATTGAAAAATATTGTTAATAAAAAACGCTTAAAAAAGTCTCTGGCACTCTGATATGGAACTCTACCCACGACCTTTCGCAATCCGTGCGACTGCTCTAACCACTGAACTACCCAACACCAAACAGGACTGGACAAATTTTTAAGCACTTGTTACTTTATCGCTACTACAGAGCGTTTCATCAATATCCAGGCAATTCACCGTCCATCTCAGTGTCCCATCTCAGAATGCCAGGGACAAAGTGGATTTTTAGGAATTTTTCATTAAAAATATTTTTCAGTATAGCATTGTGAATGCAAAATATAATTATATGACATATCATAAACAAATAAATATTTAAAGCAGTTGGAGAATTCAGAAGTTTTTCACGTTCTAATCGTTTTAAAAGTTAATTTATTAAGTGAAGCTTGAATATGGGGGGAGTGCGTTCCAGAATCGTATAGCCTGAAGCGAGAATCCAGAACGTTCTTTTTTTAATTTTCTTTTTTGTTACATTTTTTTATCTTTACTATAAATAAATATACTTGTCAAGCTTAGGCAGTCTTATGTTTTACATCGAAGCTAAACCGAATGCGTTACATTAGTTACTAGCTGTGCCCGCAACTTCGCCCACATGAAAAGTAGCCTAAATTACTCCTCATTACATAAGCTATCTGCCAGTAAAAGTCAAAATCAGTCCAGCCATTAAAGAGATTAGCCGGAACAACCAAACAGACAGACAGACAAAAAATGTTGGTATGGGCTTAAAATGAAGTTAACCAGCTACCTTTTTGAGCAAGCAGATGCCTTTAATGGTTAATCGTGTATGTATGTATTTAATATATTATATTTATATATCTATGTGATATTGTATGTATTTTAAAGTATGTATATTAATTAGCTTATCTAATTTAGTCTATTCTTGTGGTTATTTTGTGATTGTTGAGTTGAGACTGACAGCAATTACCTCAGACATTAAATCCGTCTATGTAAGATTGTGTATGAAGAATAAATAAATAAATAAAAATATACATATGCATTGGGTAAGAAATGGTTAGTTTAATTTTACAAACGGACACTACAATTTTATTTATTCGTATAGGTAGATTGTGTATAGACATCTTATTTCATTATTTATTAAGTGTTAAATGAACTTGAACTACCACCTATGAAGGCATAGCTGCACATTTTGTGGTCTACCACAGAATCTTACAGTTGTGCAACCAATCTCAAACTTAACTGTCTCGTAACAATTCTATTGCACAAATTTAAAAATATTAACTTTTAATCTATAGTCAAACTTTATAAAGAAGACAACTATACAAAAATATGCGGATAGAAGTATATGTATAATACCTTATTAATAGAGTTGTAATAATTATGTTCTAGTTTTTCTAACCTATCTATTAAAACAACCGTATCAAAACTGTTGGTTAATTTTAAAGATCTAAGCTTATATAGGAAAAGCTACATTGTAAATTGATGAGGTCATTCTTGATTTCTTTTGACAATTTCGATTTGGGGCGGATACTATAGCCTTTGCTCATATATTTATACTATTGTGGTGAGGATACACTACTATACTGTACCAATAAAGATTTAACTGTAAAGGATACGCTGCTGGTTCGGTTCAGACTAACAGTATACTTTTCATAAAAAAACAAAATACAAAATACTTCAAAAACCATAAAGAAAAAGTACAATAAGAAATTGAAAGATATACAAAAAGTTAATAATGTACTGTCCAAATTCACATATTTTTTGTCCAACACACATGCAAGTTATACAAAATGTCAAGAATAATTAGAAATGTCCAATTAAAATTCAATAAATCTATTAGCTTATCTTAAAAAATTAAAATTATATTTAGAAAGCATTCATATGTCATTTACCGTTGAAGCAGCGTTCGCAAAAATATGCGGTATTTCTATCCTTAGGGAAGTGTGTATTGAAGAATCGTGAGCTACGTAGGTATATATATTTAATTTTAAAAAATTTAATTGTTTGTTTCCTAGTTTTACAATTTTCGATGCAACTTTTTTCAATTTAAGTATAAGACGTTGTCGTTGTAGACGTCCTATAACATTTAAATACAATCCACTTAATATATTGTAATATGGATTCATAAATAATAATAGAGTGGTATTGTATAATATTCCATAATTTACCTTTTCTATTTAAACGCGACCATGGCATCGAGGCTGAATCGAATTGACTCATTAAACTCGAAATCCTAACAGAAACACTTAAATCTACAAATACTAAGTTGAATCTGGTATTCAGGTATTTTACACGCAAAAAATAAAATTCCTTTCATACCTACCCTGAAATCCGGTTATTAGCGAGTAAGATTTTTAAAAAGGATAGAACATGAAAAAGGATCTCAATTAAGTGTTTAACATTTTTCGAAAAATATAAAAGAAATTAGGTGCTTTAGTAATTGATTCACCAGAGAAGAATAAAAAAAATATTAACACAAGGTATCTGTGGTTCTGTAAACTTGTACTGCAGTCTTGTTCACGGAGCTAATACAAAGCTCCGTGGTCTTGTTGTTGGAGAAACTCCTGGTCACTATCCTATCTTCCTATTTATGACTCTTGAGAATACTTCTTAATGCTATCGTATTAATTTTAACACATATATCAAAAAAGCTAACAAAAAAAATATCGTGGGTGAGTACTTTTATAGAACTAATATTAAAAAATATATATTTCAACCGTATGACGCTTTTACAATACAAGTTGACTATTAATTTAAATTAACGAAAACAAAGAACGCAACACAACGTCAACACTAAAATCCTTGACCATTTCCAATGTTACCTGTTTCAAGTTATCAACACGACCTTTTAAATATTTGCAACTTATCGGGGTCAAACACTATTACAAATGCATGTTACTTTCACTAATCACATACCATTTTCTTTAGACCGATCTTGCATCTCCATATCACAAAAACACTGTTTCTCTTTTGTATTATTTTAAACATTAACTGAATATTGCTTATCAAGCATCTGGGCTAACCAATATGGTGTACTGTTGGCCGCGGTCAATGGAACACTAACTTTTTCTGCGCGACTCTCGCGCAACAATGCGTTTGCGCAGAACAGTTAGTTTTGCTCTCTATATAATTGTCAACTGTTTATTATCCCAAGCGTGATATACTAAATAAATGTTATATTGATATAAAATAACACTCGTTTAGTTTATCATTATCTCTTCAAATGTGTATCCGTAATGATCATTTGCGATAATACACGATCTGAGAATGTTTATCAGTTACGTGAATACGACTCTACATACAGTGATGCGCACCTTTTTTATCTCGCTAACCGTTACTAATATATATCAAATTTAATTTATATAAATAATTATTTGAAATAAAACTCAAAAATTATGCACATACGTCCTAACCTATCTATTTTATTTACTTATTATGTAGAGTGAATATTCTTTCATTAATTTAAGCGAAAGTTGATTTTTGACGTTTCTGTCAGCTAAGTAATAAGGTGAATTAAACCTCTTGTTTGAAAGAGTTCTTCCCTATTCCTCAAACTACAATTTTTCATTTACACGTAACATCAATAATTATTAGGATGATGATGAAATAAATCCACTATCTATTTACGAAGGTATCGACGAAATGAGAACCTCCTGTTTATGAAGACAATCTTGTAAAGTTTACAAAAGCTGTTAAAATCACTAGCTTTTTGTGGCAGTCTTAAAATAAAAAGCTTCTGAGAGATTATATTTATATAGTCATATAAGGTTGGCGTAGAAGTTTCTTCGCATTTTATATGCAAATTGAAAATATTTTTAATAGTGAATTTACATATACCTAACTACTTCAAAAACCATAAAGAATCGAGAATCGAGCCCCCTCAACCTGCGAGGACTCGACGACGCGTATGGCTCAGCGGACTGGGACGGCATGCGCGAGTACCTTGCATCCGTTCCTTGGAAACAGCGTTGCTTTAGTGAGAAGGATCCGACAACGAGCACCGTTGCTATTACTGAGGAGATCGGTATTGCTATGGAATACTACATTCCGCACTCCGATCTGATCAGTATGGGCAAACACAACCGCTGGTTCAATCGCGATTGTGCTAACGCTGTTGCGTCTAAACAGCTGGCATATCGAGCTTGGATCAGGGGTCGTGCTCGGAGGGATCTTGATGTTGACTCAATAAAAGCGGCCTACAATCAGGCTTCCAAGTCCTGTAAGAGGGCTTACATCAGAGCGGATGCCCAGCGCGTCGCACGTATTGGCCATGAGCTAGTTACGCAGCCTACGGGCTCCCGTAGCTACTGGCGTCTCGCCAAGGCCGTGCAAAACAATTTCTGCCAGCCCTCGCTGCCACCACTTCGATGTCCAGATGGAACATTAGCTCACAAGCCGCAAGAGAAAGCCGACCTCTTGGCAAGCCTCTTCGCGACTAATTCCCAAATCGATGACTGTAATGCACTGCCACCAACGTTACCTTCTTGTGGCTTCACTATGCCTGATATTCATATCATATCAGGTAGCGTGATGTGCGTGCGGAACTACCGTCACTCGATGTCCGGAAAGCTAGTGGTCCGGATGGCATACCTGCGGTTGTTATAAAAATGTGTGCAGCGGAGTTGACTCCCGTACTTACGCGCCTATATCAGCTATCTCTTTCTTCGGGTCGTGTACCTGAGGCTTGGAGAGAGGCCATTGTGCAGCCAGTGCCCAAAAAGGGAGATCGGTCAGACCCTGCAAACTACCGCCCTATAGCTATCACCTCTGTGCTGTGTAAAGTCCTGGAAAGGATTATTAACTCCCAACTGATCCGATACTTAGAAGATCACTCCCTTGTAAATGATCGTCAGTATGGCTTTAGACCAAAACGATCAACGGGTGATCTTCTAGCGCACGTCATGCACCTCTGGGGTCATGCTATGGACAAGCGCGGCGAGTCCTTGGCTGTCAGTCTTGACATTGCTAAGGCATTTGACACGGTTTGGCACAAGGGACTTCTCTCCAAGCTTCCAGCCTACGGTCTGCCCGTTCAACTCTGCGCCTGGATAGCCGACTTCCTGCGTGAGCGTAAAATCCGTGTTCTTTCTGACGGATGCTCTTCACAGCTTATGACAGTCAATTCCGGTGTGCCTCAGGGCTCCGTTCTATCCCCTACACTTTTTCTGCTGCATATCAATGACATGCTTCCACTTGGAAATATCCATTGCTATGCAGACGATAGCACAGTGCATGTGGGATATCACGGGGCTCCTACGGTCGGACGGGCGAAAATCCTTGAGAAAAGAGAGAATCTTGTCATTGAGCTCAATCACGTTCTGGATCTCATATCGAAATGGGGTGCTGAAAATCTGGTTGAGTTCAATGCCAAGAAAACTCAGGTTTGCGTATTTAACGCCAAGACCCCTCCATTCCCTTCACTTCCCTCTCTTCAGGGCACAACCTTGCCTCTACAGAGCAGCATCAACATGCTCGGGATGGAAGTGCGCTGTGATCTGAATCCCAAAAACCACATCGAGTCTGTTATTAAAACAGCATCGCGTAAACTCGGTGTCCTGAACAAGGTGCGGCGTTTTTTCACGCCCGAACAACTGTGCCTGCTATACAAAACGCAGGTCCGGTCATGCGTGGAGTATTGCTCGCACCTTTGGGATGGCTCCGCTAGGTAATTACTCGATGCTTTGGATAGATTGCAGCGCCGCGCAGTACGCATTATTGGTAATGGCGAAGTCACCAAGAACCTAGAAAGCCTGCAACTGCGCCGAGACGTTGCTTCGCTCAGCGTCTTCTACCGTCTCTACCATGGTGAATGCTCTGTAGAACTCTTTTCCCTTATCCCCCCATCTCCCTTCCTCCTCAGGATCACACGTGCTGGTTTGCGTTGCCACCAACTAACTGTGGCAACGATTCCTTCGCGTACAAAGAAATTTGGCGACTCATTTCTTTGTCGAACTTCCAAAAAATGGAATTGTCTCCCGGCCCATGTATTCCCTCCTTCCTATGACATGGGGTCCTTCAAGCGGGGCGTGAAGAAGCACCTTGCAGGTCGGCAAGGTGAGGTTGGCTAGTGCAGTACCTACGTACTGTTTTGACTAGCTGTTCTCGCGTTTGGACTGCGCCTCCGCTTACCATCAGGTGGAGTGCAGTCATTTGTCCTCCATTTTATAAAAAAAAAAAAAAAAAAAGATTGTAGGTACCACTTATTTTTTCGCGGCTGGAGTTGTATTCTTACATTTCTGTAATATTTTTTAATGTATCGAATTTCTTCATTAGATTCACTTATTTTGACAGTAATACTCACATACATTTTCCTTATTAGAATTCGGAGTTATCTTCTTCAAAATTATTATATTTAAATATACCGAAACCAGCCAGATGCAACTGGTGTAGCAAGAAAGATTTTATTACACGTTTATGGATAGGTACTATATGTGAAAATACTTTTTCCCCTCTATTTTAATATATTTCTTTATTTGAGTAAAGCAGCATTTTGGAGTACCTCTTATGATAAGATATCTTGTAAGTGAAGAATTTGGGCAAGTATTTATATGGAATTTATTCAAGTATGTGTGACGTATGACAGAGAAGGACAATTTAAAGTGGTTAGATAATAAATGAAATACTTCTACACGTGCTCATGATTGTTATGTAATAAAATCAAACAAACATTTGGGTACACAATCATCAATTGAGCTTGATGAATGTTACGTGTCACCAACTGAGTCACGTCAATTAAATTCGGTTAAAAGTGAATAAGCAGTTTTTTTGTCACATATTTCATTATAAATGGGATATGACGTCTTCATTACAATGGAATTGACAGAGTCCCCGAAATTATTCTTGAACGAAACTTGCTATTGTGTAAACCAGAAGCTGCTTGCACATTACTATTAATTTAACATGAATTGATTCGCACGAGTAGCTAGGTATCAGTATAGAATCACATCTTTCATGCTCTATTTTTTTACTCAGGGTCGCATTTGTTGGAACCCTTAACAATGTGAGTGCGTGGTGCATCATCGATAGTGCGCTCTTCCATTTGGGCAAACGTCAACAGGGAGTTGAAAAGGTGTTTACTCTACGCCATGCATGTTCTCAATGTCTTGTATACTTTAAGGCCAGGTTGTTTGATATTACCAATTTTTAAATAATTTTATTTCTTTGCCAAATAAAACACCAAGCGAGAGCGGCGCAAACGCGACCATACATGATTGAACACGGAACCACGTTACAATGAACGATCGCAGACGGGAAGTACCCGCACGTTATTTACTGATATTGAAAATTTGCAGGGCTATGTTACAGAGTGGCTCACACTCACACGCTAGAAAGAAATACATACATCAGGCGTTATAATCTCTGAGGTCCCAAGTTCAATTTCTGATGGGCGGCCCGAACGCTTAACTGTAGCTATGGCTCTTTTCATGTAGCTGTGATTTTTATGGATTTTATATTTACATCATCATTGTAAATACCTATTTACACGGGAATTCTGCTACACGGAGTATGCCGGTGGGTTAGAGAAAAGGAGTCAAATCAAGTTTCTGCCCCGGTTAAAAAAATCGTAGATCTGGACCCGAGTTGACAACTTACTGTCGGAGCCTACTTGGCCCTAATCAGTGAAAGCCCTAAATATTTCTATCATGGAGACGTTATCGTCAACTGTAAAATTACGATTCCTCAAATTCTTCGGATATATATGTAACGAGGACCTTAATGAGCGGCTACTACCAGTCGCTCCTTCGTCACTCCTTAAGGTCTTCGTTACATATATATCAGAAGAATTTGAGGAATCATAATTTCACATATTTGCCATTGCTATGTGGCACTTTCTCACTGGAACTCGCTCTTCTGTCGACTATAGTATTTTGGTCTTGGTGCTGGACATCAATGCGCACAAAAGCTTATATTCTAGATGCCATTCCAACGTCGCTGTCGACTTTAACAAAAAAAAACAATTGAATTGATTGCACTCTCATGAGCCTGAAGAATTATCAACTTAGAATCAGCAGTTTTGTTTTGCCAAATGCCAAATAGCAAAGATATTTACACCCAGTTGCACAAACGACCTTTGAAGTTAGGGCAACTTGAAACTCTACTTGAATCATACCACGCTCTAATCAATGAATTCCTTTGCTTTTTGTTAATATCAAACTTTTTCTAACGCTACAAATAATATAATATTTAAAAAAAACCGACTTCAAAGCATGAAAAGGAATATCTATTAAATTCTGTAATATAATCAACCTACAAATTCACCGGACGTCAATTCAATGTATACAATGTTGATAGAAGAGAGCAATACTCGCGTTTTTTAAGTCAGTTTTATATTTTCCAAAATGTTTATTTTTACTACTGTATATTGTATCTGTATTGCACTTACTAGGCATTATTGTTTACTAAGCAAATGATAATTCAAGCCCTTTTTCCTTAATAAATAAAAATACTGATTACTTTTAGTTTGCATTTTATTTAATTTATACACATCTGTTTCAAATTATGTATAGGGCTACTCGCCTATGTACATAAAATTATTAAAAACTCTATCATAAAATAATATGTCTTCCCATATCATTAAAACGAACTTTCATAGTAATATGCTTATTGTTTTAACCTATATACACAAAACCTTAGGGAAATGTACTTTAGTAACAATGAGCCAACTTATATAAATATATATACATAAATATTAAACCATATTTATTGCTATTAATGATCCGATAATAATTATAATTAATACAGTTCACCTAAAATAAAGGTTGGCAATTATTGACCTAATAAGAAAAATAATATGATTGTTGTGAAATAAATCTAATTCACCTATAGAAACAAAACGCTTTCAACCAATATTTACACAAATAGGCGATAGTTTTTTTTTTTTTCTCAAATCTCTTATCTATGTCATGACAGAACTTAAGATATACATCACATAATTAATAAATCAACATAATATTTTAATATTATTAATTATTTATCACGATAACAGATAACATTGAAATATCACATGACGAAATTTTTTAACATTATAAGTATTATAACGCTTCAAATGGCAAATTAAAATAATAGTTATAGGACATAGTGTTATAGGTAAAATATTTCTTTCGAAAGATTCCCATCATACCAGGACTCAGCAAGGAACAATATTCAATTAATACAATATTCGGAAAGTAAAGTAAAGAGCTGGCCACATTTCAATATTCGATGCTAGGAATATTGAAATGTGGCCAGCTCTTTACATAATTATTTCTAATAAATAATCTGCACACTGATAATCACAGCTATTATTTATTATATTGGTGTCATAACTAATATATGTTTCTCTTTCCTATTGTGATGATAAGACGGGGTCATTTTTAAGTACATCTAATTATTGAAAGGCACTAAGACCTAATCTACAATAGAATATCTGTACATTGCTATGATTTTGAAACTTTGTAATAATATAATATGTTACTTACACCATTCTGACAACAATTTTACTCACGACTAGCCAAATCAATTGTTATAATCGATATATACAAAATTATTATTTTAACTTTAAGATGTACAGCCAATAAGACTTATAAGATTAACATGACAAAAAGATGAGCACTACATTAAATGCAATTTTAACTCATTGTTTATCTTTATTTACACAATATCTTTTTTTATTATTTTACAAGAAAAAAAAACACATAAGCAGAAACGCCACTTAAAACCCTCAAAGACATGTGCTTGGATTATAAATTAATTAATAAGATATGATCTTGATTCTTCTGATAAATAATAAACAATCCTGTCAGATTAAATAAAAATAATGCATTATATTTTAATTATTAAACATCAGCAGTCATCATCGACATATCAAATAAACAATTATTATAAATAATATGACCCAAATTAAGGAACTCAGTCCGTATGTTATTTAATTAAAAACACAAATATACAGTAACCGAATTTATAACAAATCTGACAACCGTATGTCTTTGAAGTAAAAAAAAATACCTGTCAAAAGTACTATAAATACTAATCAGTACCATTTAAAATAAGACTATCAGAGATTATGTATTAAAAGGCAAAGTTCAGGTTGGTAAGAAAAATTCACTTCTAAAATGTAAATAGGTAAAGTGATAATATTATTATGCAACATTGACGAGATTCATTATCAGGAATATTCTGAAACGATCACTCAATTACAAATGCGATAAAATACTTACTTATACACAATAAAAAAATACGAAACTTAAAGTTCCAGACTCTAAGAGTTATTGATTATTATAATTATTATATACTTATGTGTTATAGTGCCGACGATTTTTTATTTTTGATGCTAAATTGCAAATTTTCAATGCTGGACCTAATTTGAGACCCATATACTTCATCATCATATCTAAATTCAACAATAATAAAGCCTTCCCGTCTATTTCCTGTAACAAAAAAAGAGTTTTTATTATCAATATTTATTCTTGTCTTGCTGTAATGAGTGACAAAAAACCATATCTCATTCTTCATAAGTGCATTAAAAATGTGTGTAAAATTAAAGCACGAATTTTAGCAATATTCTGTCACTCAGAAATATTATAACTAAATTTTTTATTGGATAGGGTATAACTTAGAAGGTGAGAAGAAAAACTGGTTTTCTATTTGAAATAAAATTATTGTTAAAAACAAATTTTACTTACATGTTTTCGGAACAAATCGGCATGAGCCGCGAGAACCTGATCAGCGGCGGCTATGAATCCAATGACATCCTCCACCGACCAATCGGCGGGCTGCAACGCGGGAGAAGGCGGTGGCGGCGCGCCGGTAGTCGATGACGCCGGTTCCGGCCGGTCGGGAGATACACGCGCCATTTTATTGCCTGACGACTCTCCGCCATTTACATTAACCTCTAAATCGTCCTGTAGTATAATTTTAACACGTATTAATGAGGACCATCATGTTTGCTAAATTTCAATAACATACAAAAGTATGTACATGATATTCGAATGCATTGATGCATTATTATAATACCTATTTTGTAGTTTTTAATAGTATCAGGGGATATTCTGCAGAAGTCCATTGCTATAATTGTGAAATGAAGGTATCTAGCAACTTCCATACCCAGTCAATTTTTAAAAAAATCCACTGTGTCTGCTTCCCATACACAAATTCACATGTACAACGACAATAAATCGCACAACAATCACCACTTTAACACTATTTCACCCCTCCACAGAGCATCCTCAAGAATTGATAGACGTTACAGTGCCAACCACCAAGTCTAACTTGGTAGCTGGCACAACAAGTTTTTTTTTTATTATAATGCCCGGCCAACATTTCTGGCCAGGCCCTACTCTGCCCTCCACTTTTTAGCAGACCTTTTTTAATCTTAGCTACTTTTTCACAACTATAGTTTGCTTAATAAAGGATGATTTCTATAATTGATTGCAAAGTGGCATCCCTAGAGTTGTGCTTCTTGGACAAAATATTGTCAGTGCTAAATTTTACTGATTGAATCTCTTAGTAAAAAAAGAATAAATGAAAGAAAGTATAGAAATACTTTCTTTCATTCATTCTTTTTTACTGCTTTGATTAGTTATATGTAAAATAATACTCACACTTGTTCTTTTTAAAGCAGATGTAACATTATTAGAAGTTGACTCTCCACAGAGTGAACAGGGGCGACCAGCGGCATCACCTGTATCTACTTCTATCATTCCCACACAGGAACCCACTCCTTCACAAACAGCTTTTAGCCAGTTTTTCAGCTCCTCAATACTCAACTCAGATGGTACTTTTACAGAGTAATTTTTAGATCCAGATGATATCTATAAAATAAATTATAAAATTGATTATTTCCCTTATATTTTCACAAAATATTAAAAAAAATTAATTAAAGTTAATAAATTACCTGCACATTATTTATATTAGAATAGCTGCTAGAAGCTGTTAATATCGCCCGGGTCAATCTCGGTGGGTCAGGGTGAACACTTAACAGTTCTTTTGCAAGAGCTTCAGCAGCCCCTGAAGGTCCAGGTCCAGTCACTTTACTTGGTAAAAGGTTACTACCCCCAGAGCAACTACCACGAATGCAAAGGCGAACAACTGCAGCTGGGGTTACTGTGGTGGAGGTGTTCGAATTGGTGGTCCCTGTAGACCCACCTTCTGGTAATGCAGGATTTGGTATACCATTAGGTCTTAACTTGAATCTGAAAAACACCAGATCAGGATAATATTACGTAATTAATGACACTTTTTCATGTAAACGTAAATGTTTATGAACAGAATATTATAATTTTAAAGGTTATTACCTGGATGGTGTAGTAGCACTCTTTTGACCAGGAGGCTGTAAAGGATGCCCTGCTCTAGCACACCACCCTACAGGAAATATGTCACGGGAATCAAACTTGCACCAGTAATCAAAGGCACCTCTCCAACCATCAAATGACACATGAATTTGATCATTTTTCACTGCACCAACAGTCGCACAGCATATCAACTGTGGATTTTTTTTATCAACAGCCTCTAATTTCTGACCTACCATAAACAAGTTTGTCTGTGGAGTTGGTGGCTCTGGCTGAAATGATTTAGCTGGAGCCATTTCAGCTCCATTTAAGGTTTTAAGTAGGAACATGGGCCAGCTGCTTGCATTCATTCGGAACCCAAGAGGTGGCTGCAACATACCATCATTTTTCTCACAATGTCCAATAGGATGTATATCTCCAGCATCCACTAGTCTCCAGAAATCATTTTTATTATCACTACCGTCCAATCTCAACCTAAGACGAGGACCGAGAACCCCCACCACTGTTGCTATACATGTAGAAGTCAGATTGCGTGGATCCAAAGCTTCCAATTTCATATTCACTTTAAAATCATTCACAGGTGGGTTTGGTGCTTGCTTAAAACATTCTTGGGGTGCTGCAGCACTATTGGTTTTCTTCATATACTCTCCCCAATCAAACGCCTGATAAATATCATAAAAAGCTCCAGTAGAATTATTGTTAGAATTATTTTCTGTTCCATTGGCTGCATTGCCTGACTGTGGAGAAGTTGTTCTCTTTTCAGTCTTCTTTTGATACTTGTTCAGGCAATATGTAGAACAAAAATTTTTACTGCTTGAAGGAGCATTACCTCGGATAACATTATCACAATGAAGACAAGCGCCTTTGCTATAAGCTTGTCGAAATTCCGAAAGACACGTTTCAGAGCAGAACTCTTTTTTACCATTTTCAGTTGGTAAAACATATTTCAGAGGTGTTTTACTTTCAGCACACCAAGTACACGTACGTTTTGGTGGCCTTCCTGGACCACGTATTTTGCCGGGAGCAGGTCCCGATGAGCCGACAGTATTGTTAGACATCTTTTCAATGCGTGATTTTTATTTCATTATCAAACCTGAATTATGCGTATACAGTTTTTGCTGATTACATTATAATACCAGTAGTCATAAATAGTATTTTATTGAATAGACAGTGGCTCAATAATGTTGCACAAATATAAACAACGTCAGAAAGTAGGTATTTATGACGCCATTCGTTCAACGGCCATATTACTTTTTGTTTTTTTTTCGTTCAATAACGGCTTTGCCTATTGGAATCTTTTGGCTTACCCAACAAAAGCGCATAAAAAAGGTTCGATATATGGCTCATTATGGCTCAAACCACTTGCAAAAACCAGTATATAGAACAGGAAAGTATAGTAGGTATCATAAAACTAATCGCATTTTATAGTGTCAGTCATATACATTGAGATAAAGACTTGGAGTAGAATAAATGTTCAATATATTACGTAGCTTATACAAATATTGATAAATTGTATGCATTACTTGGGGCTGGGATTTTACGGGTTTTACGATTGTCCGTACGTCATAATTTTCGTTTTTTTTTGTGTTAAATACAGTCTGAAAGTTATTTGAGTTACTTATAAAACCTTATTATATTTGATCAATTTCGCTTTCACAACAGTATACTGGTTAATATTCTTAATGAAAAATGCTTAACAAAAACACTTTGGACTCAAACCCATGATAATTCGCAATCCGGGAGGTTGCTTTAACCATTAAGCACCCAGGACCTAATTTTTTCAAGCAATGAGGGAGTATTTAAGAAAATAAAGAAACTACAAAATGTTGTCACTCGATGGCAGCACAAATTGTAGGATCTAAATGTCAGTGAGGAAATATATAAAAAATAAAAAGTAGTTCTTGAAATTATACTATAGATGTCACAAGCGATGTTTGGATATTGTCTATGATATTCATTCAAATATTGTTTCTGATCTGACGTAACATAAGTAAATTGAGTATCGAAAATTATTAAATATGATATCGTTTCTGCATCTTTTAATATCTAACTTTCAAATTAATTTTAATTTATTTGAATCGTAAGTATGTGTTATTTATTAAGTTACGTGTAAAGGAAGTATGGTTTATACGTCAACATTAGTGATGAGCCAACTTATTGGACCAAAGACAGTAATTTCCGTTCCTTTTAACTAACATAATAAAAAAGTTCGATACTTAGATATCAACACAAATACGAAAATAGAATACGAGTTGTTTAATGAGTTTTGAAAACTAATTTACTTTTAAACTTGAAAGAAAACTGGAAAGGTTGTCATTGAGAAATCAAAAACGTACCGTAGCCACATCTAGTTTGATTTTGGGAACTAGTGCTTTTTTTAATGAAAAACAAAAAGCGGAGCGCAGAATTCATCTTGTATTTATATGTACCATTATGCATCCACACGTCGAATGATATTAATATAAATATCAAAATCAATTCAGTCTAGGCTGTTACATAGTTATTCCAATTTTTTTAAATGTTCTTTTTACATGTAGTACCTATATAAGGTACTGAAAACATAATCATAGGGTATGTTCCGATATAGTTAACGTAAATGTCACTGTCAAGTTGTCAACATCATTAAAAAGTAACCTAAAATTTTTGCTTAGAAGTTTGGTTAGGTCTACTTTACATAAGTTTTCAAATTAATCGAGGATTGATATAATTTATCGATCGTATTTATGTTAATTACACGAAAAATGTCTCAGAACATTGCTATGAAATTATTAAACAATGCTGAAGTGGCGGAAAAAAAATTAAGTGAACTAAAAACAAAGGTAAAACTGCGTGCATATTTATATTTTAAGTTTCATTTGCAGTCTAATATGTATTTACATATTGTCTGATTGAAATGAAGAAACGGTAACTTCTCATATTCAGTCATTACATCACAGTTATATTTCAAAACACAGTCTCCTAACTTGCCTTTTCTTCAACTGATGATGGCAGTCAGTTTATGTATTAATATTACGCTAATAATGCATTCTGTTTACTTTTTAGTTGGAAGAACTAAAAAGTTTGAAGATAAAAGAAAAAATAAAACAACTTACAAATGAAAATGATGTCCTCGTGACAAAAGTGGAAAAAGCTAAAGACCAATTAATTAAACTTGAAACCCTAAATGGTAAAAAACAGTATTCCCTACCAAATAAAACTGTTGCTCCTAAAGAAGCTCAAGTTACAATGAAAACAGAAGTGCTAGAAAATAATGTAAACAAAAAGGAGAAGAAAGAATCGTCTAAAAAGGGAAAAGGAAAAGATAAGGCTTCTGAATCAAGTGATGTGGTAGACATTCGCAAGTTAGATTTGAGAATTGGAAAAATAGTTAATATAAACAAACACCCAGATGCAGATACTCTGTATGTTGAACAAATAGATTGTGGGGAAGAAAAGCCTCGCACTGTTGTGTCTGGTCTTGTAAATCATGTTCCTATTGAAGAGATGATAAATAGAATTGTTATGATTTTATGCAACTTAAAACCTGTGAAGGTAACTAAAATCTAACCATACTATTAAAATGTCTAACACAAGTTTAACATAAGATTTAAATATGCTGAATTCAAATATATTAATTATTAGCTTTCGCCAGCGACTTCGCCCGCGTGGACCTTAGGGAAATGTTAAGTGGGATAAAAGTTTCCTATTATCTAAGTCAGCTAATACCCTATCTGTATACCAAATTTCATCAAAATCCGTTCAGTAGTTTCAGTGTGATTGACGGACAAACATCCAAATATCTGAACATCCAAACAAAGAAACTTTCACATTTATTATATTAATAGGATGTATTATTGTGAGATGCTTGACTCTTTTTTTGTTTTTATATCTTTTTTCAGATGCGTGGTGTTGTATCAGAAGCAATGGTAATGTGTGCTTCTTCTCCTGACAAAGTAGAAGTTTTAATTCCCCCAAATAACGCAGTGCCTGGGGATTTAGTGACCTGCGAAGGATATCCTCGAGAGCCTGAAGTTCAGTTAAATCCGAAAAAGAAAATATTTGAGACATGTGCTCCAGATTTAAAAACAAATGGAGATAGAATTGCATGCTACAAAGGAAATCCTTTGGTTGTGCCAGGTAAAGGACCTGTAGTTTCAGCTTCATTATCAAATGTTTTTGTCAAATAATATTCTTTATTAAAATTCTAACCTTCTCATTGAGCAAGACAAAATGATGTGATCACCTTAGATAATCTTTTAGTTCTTTTAAAATAAACTTAAATTATGAAACATTTTAAAATAAAAACAAATGAAAAGCAATGTCAACAATTTATTTATTTTTACACATCTAATCCTTTAAGCAACAATTTCCTTTTAATATGATTAATTAATTATACAATTTTGTTTGCTTTATAATAAAATTGAAATGAAACATTCTAGGGCATTTGTAGACTTAAGAAAGACAAATAAACAATTGAGACCATATCAAATCTAGGACTACTGCCCCACTTATATTATTTTCTAATATCAGCCACAAAAATACTATTATTAGTACTGTTCAGTTATTTCAAAATTACAGAAACATTTTTTTCCAGCCTAAACAAACAGAATTTTTAGGTATATTTACCAAAAAAATAATTATTAATTTCATTAGACAATGGGCATTTTAAGTAACATTCATGGGACACACAGGTAATAACAATGTTTGCACACAAAGCTAATAAAATTAAATATATTTCTAAGTATTTGATTTGGCATACTTATTATTGAAAATATGATATACTTATGTATTATCGGGTAACTACCCTAGTTGACCGGTATATGGTATTGGATAAAGAAGTTTTGGAGAATTTCTGATATCTCATTATTTCACTCATCTGACTATACATACTGATACATGACCTAGAAAACATTATGTATATATCGCAGCCAAGTGGTTAAATCAACTGTCCATTAGGCGGCTACCCCTTTAATAGAATGGCGTCATTCAATTAACGGCCTTAGATTAGCCGAGTAGCTGAACGCAACGTTCTACAATACTTGTTCTATAATATTCATTGGGAATAGCGAAACCGGGCAGAATTAGAAGTAAAATAAAATAAATCATGTTTTGGGTGATTTTCATTACGATCTGTAATCGATACAGATGCAGAACTGAGCAAAAAGATAATAATAACAAACTGCTTATTAGCGACTGGGTGTTAATTGGAGGTGAGGCGTATTTACTAGAACAGATCCATCTACTAGGTATTTTATAATATGGTATAATGGTAAGCAGTGTTCTTAAAAAAATTACAATTATTTAACAATACTTTTCGAATTTTAAAGTTTATATCTTCACAGGTGGAAACATAAACATACCTAGGGGTACACTTTGCCACATATCATATTAGTTTCTTGTTTTAAACGGTAAGTTTTCGACAGAATCTTCCGATACATTTTTCCTTTGTTTTATTTTCCGAATTTTAATCAACAAACGGTGTGATTTCTTTTCAGCCGTTGGCTTTATTTTTTTTGTATTTCGATTTTTTATGTCCAGAATCAAAACCTTTTCGCATGAGCCACGCCACACTCACTTGATAAATCACAATCTTGGGCAAGTCAGCTTAGCACGATGTTATTATGATGCATTTATGTAAGCACGATGCATAAACAAGCGACTCAGTTGGTGATGTAAACCAAGATATGAGATATCATATTGGCATGTACTTATTTTTCGCCATAACACTATGGAATAAAGTTTAGGTAACCGCAAAATCTAAAAGAATACTATGTAGATCAGGGATTTGGATAGAGTATTATATAATTCTGGGAATGGGTACACCTAGCTTCAAATTTACCTAGTATAACCCAACATCGGTGTTCGCTGTCCGTATGATACAGTGCAGGATGCCGTACACACCAATAACGTGAGTTATTTAAGCAATAACTTTCATGGTAAATTCTTAATACTAATATAATTATACAAAGACATGATATATCGCCATTCAGACAGCCACAGTGCCATCTATCGTAAATGAGAGTAAGCAATGTATTTGACTGTGATTGTTTTAGTACGTTTATTACGATTTTGGTGCTACAATAACAAGAAAAAATAATAAAAAACCAGGTTATTTTGGTTCTGTAGGTCACATGATAGGTTAGAAATTTAAGGCGATCACGAAAGGTAGCGTAGATCGCTACGCTTACGTCTTATATTTCTAATATCGTCCTAAATGAACGTTTCGGTGGCTTTTGAATCAGCCATCTCGTTGAACGGTCCAAAAGTTATAATGATTCATCTAATAAACTAGGCGCTTGAATGGCGGTATTCAATTATATAATTGAATGGCGCCATTCAATTTAATAGCTAGCCGCCCAAACGAACGGGTGATTTACCCAATTGGCTGCAACCTATATACCACATCATATTTAATTACTTTTTATATTCCAAAATTAAAATTATAAATGCGAAATTAATTCCGTCTGTTTAATTATTAGTGTCTTTGTATTTTGTCATTTTTGTTCAGAAGCCGCAATTAAAATATATTCATAATCAAGCTTATTTTAATATTGGCCTTGTATATTATTATAAATAATATATCTATATTCAGACTATTTCAACTGTTTCTGAAATAGAAAAATAGATAAATGTTACAATGCAACATTAACACCACAGTAAGATTTATTAAGTTTGATTTTGTGGTCCTGTTCACAGCTTTTACTATTTTTTTATAATAAACATTAACATATTACCTTTAAATCTACATATAAGGTTAATTATTCATATTAAAATCTATCTATATATATATATTCAAATGTTAAGTGTCTGTGAGGCGGTATGAAAATATTCCTTTAGTACTAGACAACAAGTTTGTAGGCAAGCTCTGTCCAAATCCATTTAGTTTGGGGCTAAAGCACATACGACTATATCACCGTAGCACAATTATCCGTTTCGTCGTTTATATAACACCGCTTTAGTCGAAAATATACGATATAGTCTTATTAAGTTCATTAGATAGGTATTGTTATTTAAAAACAAAGATATGCGTATATATTTCTTCATTTCGCATAGAAATAAAAAATATATATAATGGTTACACCCTGAATACTACAATTATACAGAAGTATGTGTTAATCTAGATAGATTAATCAGATGATTAGCCCCATCTACGTATTATGCTTATAAATTTATATTTACTCCATAATCACAATATGTAAAAATAATGCAATATTTCTACAGTTATTTATTATATGTACTACTGTACCTGAATATGACATAAGGAAAATCCAATGCAACTATGTTCTGCCTAAGTGCTTGTGTCAATTAGAGTAAACTTTTCTAAATTTTAGTGCAAAAAGTTTAAATTTTATTCTACATAGTAAAAGAAAGCGAGCATCGACTATCAACTATATGCACGTACGAACTTTGTACTATAGTATACTTATAGGAATACGAGTGATTCACAGTTAAGTAATATGAGTTAACTACTTTCATATTACTGATATATCAGCAAATCATAATAATTGTGATTGTGTAGTATAGTGTAGTAAATATACACGATATTTAAACGTTCTTATTATCATTACCTCTCTGCAGTGGCGTAGCGTGGGTGTCTGCGCCGAAGACATTTTTGCTGCCCCTCTTAATTAGGTTTTTCTTAGGTACTAGTCTGGATGTACTTTGTCCCCCGCAACACAGGACTTCTATCCTAAAAAGCGGGCTTGTCATTACAAAAAAAAACCTAAACAACTGAAGATCCATAAATAAAACTTTCTTTGAATTGTCAAAGCATCACGTACTTTCTTAAAGGGACGCAATAAACAACATTGAACGTATTATATATGTAATAGAAGTCATTCTTGCTGATTATAAGTCATAAACAACCCAAGCACAAAATAAAATACGGGGAATCCCCGTAAGTCAGTGATGGTGTTGCCATTCGCTACAAAATATCATTTAAAGAAAGGGTATTTCCGAATTCGTCACAGAACAAGCAATGAAAAATTCCGTGCTCTTTTCGTTCGGTCCGAATTTATAGTTGCGTTAAAAATATTAATTGGTTCAAAAATTTGAAAATATATTTTATTGCTTACTGTGAAATTTTGCCACACCCTAAAAAGTGCCTACCCGGGCGCCTTCCCCCCTACGCTACGCCACGCCTCACTGGCACCTAGTATAAAGTTCCAAATGCACAGAAAATCACGAGACGAATTTCATGTTATATGTATACTTATCATGAATCATTCAATAACATATACTAATAGTATAGATACGGTCAATGACTTATTAAGAGTTAGAAAAAGTGGACGTCTATCATCTGATTATATTAGTGTGAAGTGCATCAGATATGTCATTAAAATTTATAGTATAAAGTGGGTTCAGTTTATAAATGCATTAATTTATTTTCGTTAATTAATATAGTAGCCATAGAAATATGATACATTTCATATAATATACGATCAATTCCTAAGATAGTAAATAATTGAATAAGTACATCTTTTTTTATTATTATTGGTAATTTTGATTGGTTCTCATAAAATCATAATTTATAGCAATGATTATGTTAGTGGCGACTAATCTGAAAAGCATATAATAGATGGCGCTAATTAGGTTGGGGGTCAATACAGCTGTTACTTAAAGTCGACTGGAGCATGTTATATTCATTTTCATATTATCGAATATCTTTTGTGAATAGGTCACTGTTATTTTTTTTTGCAAGAAAAAATTACACTTAACGAATCGGAGCTGTAGGTGAAGGTCTCCTTTTTTAATTCATGGTCTATTTGAGTTTACATAATTCAGCCAATGTCACGTTGGTGGCCTTTAATCGTAAAGAGACAATAACAAAAATGTGTTAATTGTGAGGTAAAACAAAAAAAAAAAAACTGTAACTCTAAGCACGACTGTCCGATTGCATTGTTAAAGGTAAATATAAATTAAGACTACTTTTGATTGCTAGGAATTTAGATAAAATGTGTCAAAAAATTCGAGCATCCGATTATTTTATATGAATTATCATTCGATAATTGTATATTAAAATCTGACGAATACTGCATGCCGTGTCACAATCCCCAAACTAACTAGCGCTATTAGTTTATTCTAGCGCAGACATAAATGCCAACATAACAAATATGTTGATATAATCAAATAATACTTAGTATAACATTAACTCAGTAAATCCTTAATAAATACTAAACATGGCTAAATAAAGTACATACTAATATTTAAAAATACATTAAACCGTTTATTTTCTAATTTATAAAAGTATTCTTATTGAATGAAAATAAAACTCACAAGGCAAGACATTTACATATTCCAATATTTCGCGCTTACAAAAATAGACTATCAGACAGTAACATAGAACTTATATGGATCACCAAAGCACCTGAGAAGGTTAAATTTCGAAGCTCAAACACTAACGAGCGCGGTCACAGCTCCGCCCTAATACGGATACCAAATACGTCGTATTTTACACCTTACTGTTATTAAAACAAGACTCATTATAAATTTTCATCATACGTTCGGTCGTAGAAATCGTTCAATTTTCTCTACGACCCCGCAAGGAGGGGGGAGTCCTCTAGATGAGTATACAGTGTAGGTTTTCAAAGGGCAGGCCTCAGCTGAACAGACACACTGAGGAGCCCCACATGACCTTGTCGCTTGTTAGGCAGCGGGGTATGTGTATAGCATTTTCAGGACATTCAACATGTGCCATATTAATTAGAGCTTACTGTAATGTGGGAATTATTTTGAATATTGTACGTATGTCTTTGTTAGTTTCTTTTTTTTAAGCTACAATGTAGTCATACTGACAACACCGAGAACAAATTATTGATATGATAATAAATGAAGCTTCGAGCTGTGAATGTAATATGTAACATCTTTCACGGAGCAAAGTCCATACATCGCTAGAGGGTCTCGTCATTACTATTTTCTAACTAAACTTAAAAAACAGTGACTAAATATAAATCTTTGGTCGGGACCATGATTACAAAATTACATCAATCATCTGTACTTATAGATTATACAAATAACTTTCGACCACCACCTAGGTACATGATATATATTTAAATACGTACTAATTTTAAGATTAATGAAAATGGCACCCAAAACGTAGCGAAATTAGAAATTTATGATAAGTTTCAGTATGTATTATGCATAACTAATCCCATAACAATAATTGAAATCATTATAAAATCTTATTTTCTCATATAATTTTCTTTATTTCCTAAATATACAATGACATAAAGCACGACTTATTATGATTAGATCATTTAACAATTTAGGCCATAATAGATATGAAATGAAATTGATTTCGAAAATGGATATGATAATAAATGACATCACAAAGTACATTTTACTAGGAATACAAGTTATAATAATAATAATAATAAAATGTTTACTTTTTAATAACACAGAAAATATTTTAAATATATTTCTTTCAGGAGTTTCGACATAACACCCAATAATATTGGTAACATTGTAGGATAGTTTAGGATAGGAAATGAATAAAATAAAACAGATGTATGTTTGTTGGAAATGGAATGTTTGGAAGCATTCCTGATAAAATGGACACAATATGAACAAATATCTACTATAAAACTAAATTTGAGTACTGTTTATATATACTTCTTTATAGAATATAATGTAATAAATAATATTTACTTTATAATCTGACAATTTTATTATTAATATGGAAATCTATAAAAGATTTGGGGCAATAGGCATAATTAATGGGCTAATTACGCAAATATCTTATATTTATAATCAAGAAAATAATTTTAATTCGGAATATTGGAAAATAACCGACAGTAACAATAATCTTAATGTTACTTGAAATGAATTATAATGCCAAGCTTAACCAATTATCACTGATTATTCTAAACGGGATCGTAACCTGAGATCTCAGTGAAATTTAAATACTGTTATTAAAGAGGGACACTGCTACATGTATTGTATTACAGCACCATTCAACTGTAATTGAGAGCTATTGGTTTTTGTATTCACCAATAAACAGTAATATTTAAAAGTTAGAACTGTCTCAAAGTAGTGTCCAGTAGCGAAACACAGGGTTAATTAATAATCTATCTGTCTATATATATATATATATATATATATATATATATATATATATATATATATATATATATATATAATGTTATGAATAATTTAAAATAGGTATCCAAATTAAATAAATTACAACAAATAATTTAGTATAACCCGCTAACAGTTACTAGTCATTGAGAAGACATGACTCTACATAAGCCATCGTGTTAGAACTCATGGCAACTAATCACAGGAAATAATAGCCATTATCAGACTAAAAATGGAAAACACAATGTGTTATATTTGTGATAATGATGAAGTCTGGTTTGTGATGTTTTTTTTATAAAGTTTATAATATATATAGGATTGTAATTCTATAATGACACTAACAAGATATAAATGATAAAGTAAGAAAAAACGAGAAGATAAAAATTCTATCGTAAGACAGGGAGTTCTACAGTTATAATTATATTTTGGGTAATTTTGACAACCTGTTAATTACCTTTTTTATTTTAAATCGGTAATAAGACAGGTAACGCTCACTCTCATAACTCTTATACTAATTATGTATAATTTAACTCTAACATTATTAGATACTGTTTTACAAAAATATAAATAACATCTCATTTAAAGAAGATATCTAATTAATAGACAACATCTCCGATACTTAAAATAGATAGTTTCAGGGTAGATTTAATACTGTATAAAAATAAAATATTCACATAAAAATAGAAAAATATGGTGGTATGATTTTGTGAGTAGTTAATAGTTAAAAAAAATATTGCACTATCATAAATCTCTAATAAAGTCGAAATCAAAACATACAATTTTATGTTATAATGGCACAGACAAGACTAAAAAGTAAACGAGGTGGGTATCAACAAATATTTAGAAATATAGAGTACATCTCTTATACTGTACATTTTTGAAGGAAGACAAATTTGACGTATATAAATAATTCTTATAATTTTCACTTACATCCAAAACGTCTACAACACGAACTAAATACGAAAGTGGAATGTTTTGTAATATTTAAAAATGCAAATTCTACTCAATTATTTTAACATTTTTTTTTTATATTACTTAGTTAATTGATTATATCCAGTCGTCTTTCAATTGGAAATATTTCAAGCGAGTTACAATAAAATTAGCTTCGTGCTATTTAGATTTACAAATCTCCAATAACTAATGGTATAAGAGTTTTCCTATTCTGTCATTGATTTTAATGTGGGCGTCAAATCCACTTAGCATGTGGCTAGAGCAACGTTTTCTTCAAAATCGATGGATTACGCATAAGCTGATGTGTTTTCTAAAGTTGAGTTGGTGGGAATCGCCTTTGCGGTTTGCTGCGTCGTTGTGCGAGTGTCGACTGGGATACTGGACCGAGTACTTGTGGAGTCAATGGAGAAGCAGTCATAGCCTACAAAATAAAGTAAATGCATAAATATTCGTTAGTAAGTTATAGTAAAAATCAGCGCATTTGTGATAAATATTTGTCACGATTCAAACGCTTTAAATAGAACAACAAACGATCCGCGCACTTTACTGCCTTTGAACATGATAGAGACGAAAACGAGACATAATATAGGTTATTAAAACAAGGCCGATATAGCTAGATGACGTTTATTCAAATTAGCGTGTGCAAAATAATTAGGTATCATCACAAACTTATCCAAATATATTATTAAAAAAAATTACCACATTTTTTCTTCTTTTTTTATGGGATAGGGGGCAGACGAGCAGACGGATCACCTGATGGTAAGTGATTACCGTCGCCCATGGACACCTGCAACACCAGAGGGGCTACAAGCGCGCTGCCGGCCTTGGAGGGAAGGGTTGAGGGGTAGAGGGAAGGGAATAGGGAGGAGTTGGGCCTCCGGTACTCACACGACGAAACACAGTGCAAGCGTTGCTTCACGTCGGTTTTTTGTGAGGCCGTGGTATCACTCCGGTCGAGCCGGCCCATTCATGCCGAAGCGTGGCTCTCCCACGGGCAAAGAACTTCAACTAATTAACCAAGCCGTTCAAACGTAACAAAAATTACAGCAAGAGAATAACTAAATTCGAAAGCGAAAAGTCACGTAACAGTTATGTTATCGCTACTGAACTTATCTATCTTTTTACGTCGAGGAACCCAACCGGCAATGAGTTGCCCTCACCACCCCTCATTAGACCACTGAATGAAGATGGTTATAGAGGCTCGGGTAGTAAATATACCTGGAAGGTGAGATCGACGGTATAGCGTGAGTATAGCGTCTCGCGGTACGGGGGCGGCGCGGTGTCCGACTACAGCCAGAGCAACGACAGATCCAGCTGTAATTCTAATTACCGGCTTCTTCTTATACCTGAAAGATGAGATCGACGTCGCGTCGCATCTGCCTCGCCTATAGCGTCTCGCGGTACGGGGGCGACGCGGTATTCGGTCTGCAGCAAGAGCAACGACAGCTGCAATTCTAATTACCGGCTTCTTCTTATACCTGGAAGGTGAGATCGACTGCGCGTCGCATCCGCCTCGCCTATAGCGTCTCACAGTACAGCCGGAGCAACGACAGATCCAGCTGTAGTTCTAAATACCGGCTCCTCTACATACCTGGAAGGTGAGATCGACGGCGCGTCGCATCCGCCTCACCTATAGCGTCTCGCGGTACGGGGGCGACGTGGTGTCCGACTACAGTCAGAGCGACGACAGATCCAACTGTAATTCTAATTACCGGCTTCTTCTTATACCTGGAAGGTGAGATCGACTGCGCGTCGCATCCGCATCGCCTATAGCGTCTCACAGTACAGCCGGAGCAACGACAGATCCAGCTATAGTTCTAAATACGGCTCCTCTATATACCTGGAAGGTGAGATCGACCGCGCGTCGCAAGTCGGCGGGCGCGGGCGGCGCATCCGCATCGCTTATAGCGTCTCGCGGTACGGGGGCGGCGCGGTCTCCGACTTCAGCCAGAGCAACGACAGATCCAACTGTTATTCTAATTACCGGCTTCTTCTTATACCTGGAAGGTGAGATCGACTGCGCGTCGCATCCGCCTCGCATATAGCGTCTCTCGGTACGGGGGCGGCGCGGTGGCAGGGCTGCAGCCAGAGCAACGATGTTTCCAGCTGCAATTCTAATTACCAGCTCCTCTACATACCTGGAAGGTGAGATCGACGGCGCGTCGCAAGTCTGCAGGCGCGGGCGTCGCATCCGCCTCGCCTTTAGCGTCTCTCGGTACGGGGGCGGCGCGGTATTCGGTCTGCAGCCAGAGCAACGACGGTTACAGCTGCAATTCTAATTACCTGCTTCTTATTATACCTGGAAGGTGAGATCGATGGCGCGTCGCAAGTCTGCAGGTGCGGGCAGCGCATCCGCCTCGCCTATAGCGTCTCACAGTACAGCCGGAGCAACGACAGATCCAGCTGTAGTTCTAATTACCAGCTTCTTTTTATACCTGGAAGGTGAGATCGACTGCGCGTCGCATCCGCCTCACCTATAGCGTCTCGCGGTACGGGGGCGGCGTGGTGTCCGACTACAGCCAGAGCAACGACAGATCCAACTGTAATTCTAATTACCGTCTTATACCTGGAAGGTGAGATCGACTGCGCGTCGCATCCGCCTCGCCTATAGCGTCTCTCGGTACGAGGGCGGCGCGGTGGCAGGGCTGCAGCCAGAGCAACGATGTTTCCAGCTGCAATTCTAATTACCGGCTCCTCTACATACCTGGAAGGTGAGGTCGACGGCGCGTCGCATCCGCCTCGCCTATAGCGTCTCTCGGTACGAGGGCGGCGCGGTGGCAGGGCTGCAGCCAGAGCAACGATGTTTCCAGCTGCAATTCTAATTACCGGCTCCTCTACATACCTGGAAGGTGAGATCGACGGCGCGTCGCATCCGCCTCGCCTATAGCGTCTCTCGGTACGAGGGCGGCGCGGTGGCAGGGCTGCAGCCAGAGCAACGATGTTTCCAGCTGCAATTCTAATTATCGGCTCCTCTACATACCTGGAAGGTGAGATCGACCGCGCGTCTCAAGTCTGCGGGCGCGGGCGGCGCATCCGTCTCGCCTATAGCGTCTCGCGGTACGGGGGCGGCGCGGTGGCCGGGCTGCAGCCAGGGCTCCCGCAGCAGGTCGGCGGCGCGCGGCCGCAGCGACGGCTCCAGCTGCAGCATGCGGCGGACGCAGCCGCGCGCCTCCGACGAAACGCCGCGCCACACGCCGCTAGATAACTCCACCTAAACGGACACCTCACGTTAGTTTTATACATTTCAAGAAATTTTTGCGCGCGCCGCCATTTTTGCGTGTACTCGTAACGCTGCTAGTACACCGACGAATTTGCATGCGAATGGAAAACATTTGCGAAATTTTGTCTCGCTTAAATAGTTAGTATTATTAACTCTATGAAATAGTTTGCATCCTTGTCAGTACAGTTGTCTTGTCGCAGTCAACCGGTCGTTACACAGACGCACATGTTTCGCATTCAGGGTTGCGACCCGTCCCGATTCCTCGTGTAAATCGGTAAAAGGTGACAACTGTGTTAGTATTCGCATAGTTTCGAAGACGTTTCGCATTCGCAAGCGAATGCGAAACGTACTCTTGATTTGGTACACTAGCTCCAGAGTGAACCAATCACGAGTGAGAGCAGCGATTCCGACTTATAATTCGATTTTTTAAGTAGATCCCATGGAATAAGTTCAACAAAAAAGTAATAACTAAATTAGATTATTTATAAGAATCCATAATATCAATCATAGCAAGTTACTAACCATGTTTTAAATTAAAAAAAATATCTATACTAATTTACAATAGCTACAGAGCTCGTCTCGGATATTCCTTCTTATTTTCAGTTTGAAATTACTGAATTTGTATTTGGCTGTACCTTTTATCACGCACATACAGTCACAGTATATATACATGGATTACCCACATAGCGCCGGAGGCAAATATGATTTGATTATACTATAAACCCCTAATGCGACCGCCTAACCCATTAGATAAAGATTGAAATTGTTGCTGCGATGTAGTTTACGGGGCAAATAAGGGAAACCCCAGATCTTGAATGCAAACCCGGTAAGGAAGAAGACCTTTTCTACGTCTTATTAGAGTTCCCGGTATGTAAACATCAGGCACAACTTACATTATTATAACACACCCTTCAAAAAAGACTCTTGAGCTGGGACTCGACCGTTCGCAATCGGGGCGAGTGCTCTAACCACTGAGCCACCCAGAACCTAACAGGACTGACGAACTTTTCAAGCACTTGTCGCTTTTCACTACTAGTGAGCATTACGCTCACTACTAGTTCATCAATGTTCAGGCAATCCACCTAAACAGCTGAACAAAACTGATAAAATATAATAAAATTAAAAGTTAAATTAACTTATGAATTAGACTTACTTTTCCAGACTCGATTCTCGCCAAAATTGCTTCAGGAGTGTCGTCTCCAGTTGATGCAAACGGTGTCCTACCCGAGAGCATAATGTAGGCTAAAACACCTGTGAATTAAAATTCTCATAAATTTGTGTTCAAGTTACAACTGAAATAAATAATAGATAAGAGTAAAACAAGTATACGGACTCCATATTCATCTGAACAATTTAAAGTTAAAAATTCCAAACAAAGAGAATGAAGGCTACTGTATTTTCACCCACCAGTTGGCGTGACAGTCGCGTGAGATCCTGTTAAAGTTTGTTTACAACGAGACTGAACCTAAATCATACATCATAATGATACATAAATAAACCATTTCATTCAAAATATCGAACTTGTCTAATAAATATTAACCTCTGATTTAGTTCTTCTTTCAACCTGCTTAATTTTGTACTATTTTGTCTTAGCTCCGTTTTTAAAACACTGAAAATCATTGACCCGTAATTCATAATATGTTTCAATAATTCTCAGATACCCCAAAGCAAGCTCAAAATCCGTTTATTTTTAATCGCGTCGTTTACCGACAAAATATATTTGACATTTTGAACACCTCACGCCACACAAGCGCCTCTAGTGGCAAACTCAAATGCGTTAACCCTCATAATAGCATACTGTACTAGCTCTTTTAAAAACCATTACAATACTTAAAGACACTATTAATTTTAGTTAAACCTGACTCATTGTTTACAAATAAATAAATATTTAACAACATCACATACATCGCTCAGATTCCAAGATGAGTAGCTAAAGCCCCCGTATTATGGAGTGTCTGAGACAACGAAGGTACCACAACACCCAGACCCGAGTCAATATAGAAAAGTTCATTTTCTACATTGACCCGACCGGGAATCGAACCCGGGACCTCAGAGATGGCGACACCTTGAAACCGGCGTGCGAACCACTCGGCTACGGTTATTTAGAATGGAAACAGGAAAGAACATACCTAAACTCCAAATATCGCACGCTGCGTCATAGCCCGCCCGCTTTAGAACTTCGGGTGCGACGAAGTTGGCAGTGTAACAAGGAGTCATAAGTAAACCGTTTTCAGCTCGAAGCTGTTTCGCTAGCCCAAAATCAACTAAGCGAATGTCCTCAGGCCTCTTCTCTGATGTCGCGAACAGTATGTTCGATGGCTTTATATCCCTAGATTAAAAAAAAATAGCACAAACAAAACTTGTTTAGTTCTAATGTTATCAAATATTATGGCTGCGTATGATTTCCGTAGTTTCTGTCCGCAAATAATTGGAATTAAAGGTTTTTGATCACAGTGAGAAATAGACTCATTTGGCAATAAAGAATATATCGAATTGATTTTTGTTTTTCAGTACAAAATGTATGGGAAATCTTTTTAGCGATATCTAACAATTATAGTACTGTTCTTAAACTAAATGGTACCATTGTCTTTAATCTCGATATTTGTAAGAATCGATAGACATAACAATTTTTTTTTCCAATCAAATGTTCTCCTAGGAAAGTTCAGTGTTGTTATAATAGTTAAGGTACCCGTCCATACAAAAAACCATATTATATTTTTTCTGGTGTTTGTTGGATTTCGGGATGAAGCAATCGACTCATTCTATTCAGCATTGAAGACGAAAAAATGAGTTTATTTGCTTATATATAAAAAGGTCGAAAATCATTTTTTAAACCGAGAACCTCATATTCATTTCAAAAACAATATCTACAGCAATTTGTTATGCTAATAATAATAGTTAAATTTGTAATATCATGAGAAAAAAAATTTTACTCGAAAATCTCACACCATGAAAGTTTTATGTCAATTCAAAGCATCGTATAGCAATTTCATACTATAACCCTATTTGGTAGGTTTTAGACAATGTGCTTTTAACTATAAAATGTAATTATATATCACCTGTGAACAACGGTATGCCTGTGCAAATAATGCACCGCTTGTAGAACATTTCTAAGTATGGGCGCGGCTTCGTGTTCCGGCAAGTACCGGCGTTGTGTGATATGTTCTAATAGTTCGCCGCCGCGACACAGTTCTGTGACGGCAAGTATACGACCACCTTCTTCGTACACCCCTCGCAGAGTGATAATGTGAGGATGTTGGCTGTACCTATATGAAAAAGAGAAACATCCTAATATCTTTATTTAATATTTTGCAAATATTGTAATAATTTGCAAATAGATGTGCAAATATTAGAGTCAAAATACAATAAATTGTCTGATTATATATGAAAAAAATGTAAAATCTTTAAACTCAAACAATTAAATAATAAATGCAGTCGTAATAAGATAATAAATGAAAAGTTTGTGAGAATGTATGTATGTATATTTGTTACTCTTTCACGTAAAAAATAGTAAATGGATTTTTATAGAATTTGAAATAAGGATAATTTTAAGCCTGAATTAACATAAAGCCTCTCTATCTCACTACACGGTTCCCAAGAACCACACGAGCCAAGCTGCTGACGGAAAGCTAGTATTAATTATTATTTGAACACTTTTCAGAGTTACGTAAACATGGGGCAAAACCTATTACTAAAACACCGCTGTCCTGTATATCACCATCTCATGAACCATGATATCCAACTGAAATTTTCACAAATATATTTCCGTTGCCAACAAACTTCATTTTTATCTTTTTTATACTTATATAAATGGTTCCTGCGGCGAATCCGACGCGCGTAGGATTTAGTTGTATTTTTTATACCGAATACAGTGTTACTTAAAATGTGTTCTTCAAAACCACATATGTTGGCGGTCTATTTATTATAATTTTTGGTAAATGATTGAAATAATTAATTCAATTAAATTTAAAATTTAGTTTCTCCTTATTAATTAAATGGCACACATAAAACTAAGTTTTGTTTTATTTTAGGGCTCTACATAAAAATTTAGTTTCATAAAGGATTTCATCAGTTAAAAAAGTTCAGAAATCACGGTCAGATATCAGAAGAAAAATGTGATTTTGAAATTGAATATTCAATTTATTTATTTGGCATACAAGTTTACCTTAACAGAATTTCAATCTCTTCTCGTGGGTCATATTGTAATTTGTCCATGATCTTGACTGCATATTGAATCCTGGATGTTTTATGTTCGCAAAGGCGGACAACTGAAAACGATCCAGTACCCAATTCACCCATCAACCTATTAAAAAAAAAATTAAATAGGTACCACACTCTTCTCAACATTTTTATTTGATATTTAGACCCTTACTAAGAAGAAACTTATAATCATTGTTGTGTAACTAACACAAAGCTCTATTCACGTCATTCCAATGTGACTTTTAATTAGAGTGAAAAAGACAAAAGACTATAAAACTATACATCGCTAATACAATGATTATTGGTAAGGCCATTATTGTGCAATGATTCCCATCTCAGGGTGCCAGGGACCAAGTGGATTTTTTAAGCATTTTGTATTAAGAATATTTTTCAGTATGGCATTGTGAATGCAAAATTAATCAAAAATATAATAAATATTTGTTTGTCAGAATGTCTACATCAGGGCCATTTAAAATTTAGTTGTACGTAAAATTGATTTGGGACTCACCTGTATTCGTCAAAGAAATTGTTCCTATTAACAAATCCAGACCAAAATTCTTCAGTTGACGTTTTATTGTTCTGCGCTACATGATTTTGATTCTGGTTAGTGACAGTTTTGTTATTTTCATCTGTAAGTAAACAGGGAGCGACAAAACTGAAGCCTCTGAAATTCAGAACGAGATCAACTTATTACAAACTGCCTTTACAACAGTAACAAAACCAATATAATATTAATGATTAATTCATGAAATATAAATCTCACAATGTCAGTCAATACTCTTACGATTCATATATAAAACTTTAAAATAGATACATATATTTTAATATGTTAAGATGTATTAATTTTTGTATTTAAAAAAATTAAAGAAAATATGTAATTTTTCTTTTGTAATAAAAAAAATGGTAAATGTGTCTTTTGAGAGACAACAAACTCAGCTATTTTTTAATGACAATAAAGATTTTAAAAAAGTTTTCATCAGTCCATTATTGTCCAAAACGTAGTTCTAAAATGGCTCAATTTTATGTCATAAAGTTGAAAAGTATATACTTTTATTATAAGCATAGAATAAGAAATGTTACATTACAACACCAGATTATCTACTACTCATCAAAACGGACTTTAAGATAAAAATAGAAATTATTTATGCGTATTATAGGAAAACAATGGTATAAGTTATATAACCTGTCATTATCTTATCTCGTATTTCCGTCCTCAAAGATAATATAAGATAGTGAAAACTAACGAATGTACATAAAATTGTATACATTGTGAAAAGATAAAGGAATATAAGATTACATATCATAATAAACGATCACATCATTCACTCGTCAGTGCGGCGCCTTCCAAGTGTTTGTATATTGAGCGTATATTTGTATGCAGACAGAATTATGTAAAATTTCTGTAATGCGCCGATACCTATTTATTTTGATATATATTTATATATTGTTCAAAGTATCTTTTGAGGTGCTCGATGGCGCATTGGTAAGAGCACTCGCTCTATGATACGTTTGTTAAGCAACTTTCGCAATGATCGGTCATAGGATGGTGACCAAAAATATATTAGCTCGAGCTCCTCCTTACTTCGGAAGGCACATTAAGCCATTGGTCCCAGCTGCATCTGCAGTCGATAAAACCAATCCACACTGGGCTCGCGTGGTATAAGGAATTGTAGTAATGTTTTTGACTTGGCTCTTTCAACTCTCATAATTTAGGCATTGCATATGAATTTACTTTCTTAGCAACGTTTATTCAAATCGATTCAATTTGTGTTTATGTCGTGATGAATGGCTAAGCAGGATGGGCCATGATTCTCTATGCTGGCCCAATGCGAATTGGAGGGTATTAACGGCTGCAAATGCAGCCGGTACCAATGGCTTAACGTGCCTTTCGAAGTAGGGAATAGCTCGAAATAATAATTTTATGGTCACCCATACCATGACCGAACCTTGCGAAAGTTGCTTAAAAAACGATCGCGGGCCGAGGCGCTTGTTGGGTTAGTTTTTTGTTTTGTTACTCAATTCGACATTGCCCTTACCTAAATAATTCGTGAGCATTAGCCGAGGCCGGAACTCCAGGCGAATCCCTTGGTGTGCGGCAAGTAAATTCCGAGTCAAAGTAAAATGCGTCGTCAGCTCTAGACACCGCGGGTCGGAATGGTGGCACGACCTAACAAACAAATAATTTTTATTCAATGCTACACTACCATAACAGAAGTTCATAGAAAATCATAGAAATATATACTACACAGTCAAAATTGGACTCAAAGTGAATCACATTAAGACCTAAGAAGAAAAGTCAGGCGCTCTATAATTCGTGAATTTCAAGGCATAGTTCGAATTAAAATACATGCAATAGAAATCAGTATAGCTATCTCATAGAAAAAAAGAGCAATCGCCCGGTTTGTGCAACATTATGTATTCAAATCGTGCTCAACTAACTTGGGCCTCTGCATGTTTACCTATTAACTGAAGCCCTGATTAAGGTTTTCATTATAATAGAGCAATAAGAGTTCCAGTTACAGAGTAGTCACAAGGACTGGTAAATTTAAGGATTATATTACTAAAGATAAATATCAATATAGCATTGTAAAGGGAAAACTTATCAAACATAATAAAAAAATACCTCTTTTTTGAGCAACGCCTCCCAGTCTATGTTTGAAAAGAATTCATGATTCTTTATATCTTCTATACCATTAGGGCCGGCACCCAATCTGCACATAACCAAGAAGTAATATAGAATGAATCAATCAATAAATATATATTCTTTATTGCACTGCATTTCCTTAAATCCGATAAAACTAGATACTTCAATAATAGTTTACCTTTAGCCTAGGGTTGCCTACCCTAGGCTAAAGGTAAACTATACCAACTGAGGAAAAGAAACATTTATAATAGTAAATACATAGTTTAGAATAAATAAATAAAATAAGTAAAGAGGGGTCAGGGAGTAGAGTCCAGCAGGCTAATTCTGCTAATGTTTAAGTAATAATTGCATCTAAATAGAATCTCAACAACTTGCATTTTAGTTATTACTGCAATATCTTTCTTATACATCATTGGTGACATATAATATGTTTAATAAGATTGGATTTCAGGTACATAGTATATTGGCAAAATGCAAGTAGTTGACATTCTATTGAGATGGGATTATTTTGTAAACATTAGTGATCTGCAGTTTGAGGAAATGTTCCTTGATCAGTTTAACAAAAGTACCATGACTTTGAGTGTCTAATATTCAGCATATGTTTGATATGACCTATCTATAAATTAATTGTAAAATGATTTGACCAACCTGTTCTGAGGATTTCTTTTGAATAAAGCTCTAAGTAAAGATTGCGCCTCTTCACTAAGATTGGATGGCATACCAAGTTTAGCTTTTAATATTTGGGTCATAGTTTCATGTCTAGTTGAGCCATGGAAAGGTAAATTCCCAGTAAGCATTTCAAACTGAAATCACAGTGATAGTTATAAACAATTTCAATCATGTTTTTATATCACAATTTACATGCAAGTAATGATTGAAACTTGCCATAAGTACACCAAAAGACCACCAGTCAGCAGCAAATGTATGTCCTCTTCTGTTAACAACCTCAGGTGCCATATACTCCACAGTGCCACAGAAACTGTAAGCCTTATCACTACTTGGTGGTAATTTTGACAAACCAAAATCAGTTAGAGCTATATGACCATCAGCATCTAATAATATATTTTCTGGTTTGAGATCCCTGTATATAATTCCCAGTTTGTGCACATGTTCCAAAGCCAAAGCCAACTCAGCCAAATAGAATTTGACATCTTCTTCAGTAAACATCACCTGAAATCCAAATTTCCTTCTTACTATGGTTTATTTTGGTATATAATCATAAAGCAACGTGTTACTAACAATAATAATATTCCTATTAGAATGAGGGAGTGCCAGACTGTTCTAATATAAGTGTGTGCATGTCTATAGTACATTAGTGATGTTTGAACTCAGACCATTCCTATAAAGTAATACAAAATATGAGAGTTAACAATGATGGGAGTGGGTTTTATTTACAATAAATTTAGTAACTAAAACTTTTACACTGTAAACAACATACAGTATCATAACTTCTGAATGTTACAAATGAGTAGTGATGATTAACATTGGAAATTATTCACAGAAACCAATAAGGATAATACTTTATTACTAAGTACTTTTAGTACTATTTTCAGTTAGATTACATTATTTGTACTCAATTTATAACTCGGGTGATTCAATTCCATATTAGTCCAGGCCCCAATTGTCTAGACAACAAAGATATAACATATAATAACTAATAAATTATTGAACCTTGCCTCTTTGCTCAATCTGGAAAACAAGTCTCCACCCCGTAAAAAATCTAATATTAAGTAAAGTTTCCCAGCAGTTTGAAATGCATAATGCAATTTAACAATAAATGGGTGTCCCATTTCAACTAATATGTTCCTTTCCATCTTGGTTCTTTCTCTGTCTCTCACTTTTAATGTGGCCTTTTTAAGTACCTAAAATAGAAAAACAAAATAACTAAATAAAACTGATGACAATAAAGTTAAAATGTAGAAAATTAACAAAGTAAAAAATTATTAACAATTTGACACTCATAAAATGTTTAAATGTGAAGTCTTCATTGTCTTTGTTGTCATTAAAACTTACCTTCATGGCATAGAGTGTGCCTGCATCAGCACCAGAGACCTTTCTAACTAAAAAAACTTTACCAAATGAACCTTCACCAAGTACTTTGAGCAGTTCAAATTGCGATGGATCTGCCTTCTCATGCCCTTCTTTAACGACATCTTGCAGTTCTATTTCTCTTTCATAGTTAATTTCATTGGAGTCATGGCTTTCAGTTGTAGATGCCTGACGTGATTCTGCCGAATTTTCCACAACCATTGGAAGACTATTGGCAGGTTGCTCTGTATTGTTAATCTAGAAATATGTATGATAATTATTAAATAATCTTTAGGAGAGCAGAAGTGGGCGTTGATGAAAAAAATAATATATTAATACGATACTACGACACAATACGCTTCCAATTTCTATCTAATGAAATAAAAGAATGAGTAATCAAACGAGGAAAATCACTATGAATATCCAATATTCCGGTATTAATTATAATTAAAAACGCAAACAAATTGTCAAACATACCGTTCCATCTACAGCACTTTGCATTCGCCACGGATCTGAAGAGTTTGCCAAAGGCATTATGTCACGGTTTCACGACGTATACATCAAAGAAAAATATAATACAATTAGCGTAAATTCAATTACACAATTTGCATATTACAGAAAAGTCATTTTTATTCAAATAGTATTGGAAAAATATGAAAGAAACTAAACACTTGACACTAATGACGGCTCCGGACAAGGTCATTGGTCCAGGTATGATTATCGATATAAGAATACCGATAATAAGCATACAAATATAATCGGTATTTTAGAATTACACACGCAATGACGCAATCAACAACTTATTTTCGAATATCAAAATATGTATTTATAGAATTTCAATTTCTAAAAATTACCACCGCAAGCATTACACATTCATATTGCACTTAAAATCATAATTAAAAGCAAATGACTACAAAATAATGGTAAAAAAGCAATGTAAGTAATTTGAATTTACAATTGGATATATTTTTATCTGATAATGTACCTATCAATATTTGTATAATAAAGGGAATGTTTCCAAAAGACACAAAGATCAAAAGACATAGAAAGCGACCCACATTATCTTTACTTCATTTTCTAGGTTCTAGCTTAAAAATATGTAAATATGTAACAAATATTGTATATATTGCACCAAAATGTTATTTATAATGGTGAAGTTATGAAGTAAATGTTATTTTCGATAGTAAAGCACTATTATTTGATACATTTTTATTTATTATAATCACAGATCTCAGGTCAAGCCAATTTGTTTACTGAATGATTTAGTATAGTACTGCTCTCTGCGATGAGTTTTATGTAGGTACCTGATATTCCTATTCACTCACATATTCTTCATTAATGAATAAACAAAAATAGATTTATTTTATATAATTATTAAATGTAGTAAAAATGCAATATAAACATACTATTTTCTATATGTCTACTTTATTAACTTTGTGTAAACTATTCTGAGACTTTTATTCATGCCAAAAATATATATTTTTTAATATTTATTAATCGATATAGTTTAAAAATCGATAAAAATTTACAATTATTTGTAAATAGAGCAACCCTTCTTCTTCTTCTTCTTTTTAATTAATGGCTTATCTGCGCATTTTGCACAATTCTGCCAATGTCAAGTAAATAAATACATTTTTACATGTAAAATAAAAATGAAATGAATGAAAGATGGCGATTTGAAAATTACATTTAGGTGAAGGATCAACCAGAAAGAAGCATAATTTTTTTTAAACCATATTTTTTTTCAACTTCCTCTTTGTGGTTAGGCAAAGGACATTCATACATACCTCCACGTCCTATTTTAAAAATCTCGTCATTTTTCTTCATTTTTAGAGGTAGGTTATCGCCAAATCATAAGTTAAATACTCGGTGGAACAGAACAACCGACACTGCCGAGGTTCCTGGAGTCTTTAATACGATGTTTAAAAATTATATGTCTAGGTCAAATAGTTTCGGAGATATTAAATTACAGTTTTTGGAAAAAAATGAGTGTTTTATACCCTGAGTCAGCTGTTTTTGGGACGTACTAAGGAAAAGTTTTTAAACGGTTATTGACTTCTTCATTTCTAAAAACGAAATAAACTAGTTTGTGATTTATAAGACCGTTTTCATGCAAATTCTACTAGACAATCAATAAACAATGCAGTCAAAGTGCTTAAATCGATTTAAAGACTAACAGCCGGTTTCTGATTTGAAAAAGTAGAAAATCTCTACTGCTTATTCTCAATAACCTGAGTTTTTTAATTTCACAAGTCAAATAGTCCTAGTTTTATCAAACTGATATCAACTGATCATCAAAAAACTAAAATCGGAAACGAAAACTAAGTGATGTTAGTTTAACATTAAATTCTCAATTAAGAAACCGAGTGTAAAATTTCTTAAATTATTGTAGAGAGATCAGTCTAACATTAACCTACGTTATTTTAAAAGAGCAGTTCTCCAAAAATTTGTTTGAATGGGGTTATACTCTTTAACAACGGGATCGTTAATTAAACTCGATAAACTCACTAATCTTTTAGTGATTTATCACTAACATAAATGTACTTTGTTTTAAAAACATTGAGGAATTTGTTATTAAGTTTAGTAAGAAAGTATAGTATTTAAGTAATTGCATTTAAAAAGAACATTATAAAAATGCGTGATATCAAAAGATGAATTAAAAAAAGGTGAACCGAGTTCGGCCCTGGATAAAAGCCCCGCCCGCCCGCCATCCGCCACCCAGCTTCATTGTTCTGTCGGGGATTCCCTTAACTCAGTCGCATAAAATAATAATAGAATTCCTAACGGAGCTTAGTAGCCGCCGACCGTTTGCGCTGGAGTGTTGTTGTGCATCGCCGCCGACGCACCGCTGCGAAGTGCCTTTTTTGTCGATTTTTGTTTTGTTCTAGTGCATTTTTAATTGAATTTTTGTTAATTAGAAACTAGAGTATTCGTCTTGAGTGTTAAGTTTAGTTTAGTGAACATTGTGTTTAGTTTTGTGTGAAATGTGATGTGTTTTGCGCGTGCATGCATCGGTATGCAAAAGAGAGTGCTTAGCTCAATCTTCAGAGATGAAGTTGACATATTCAGCATCGACTATCATTAAGATATCGGTAAATAATTCTGGACCTGAAAAGCATTAGGTCGGATGTCGGGAATCTTAGGCATAACTGTATAAAAACAGAAATAGCTAAATGCAATCAAAATATTTGAAAAAGTCGTCTGATCCGACTTTATGCATGACTGTTGCTCATGACTAAAAAGGCACAAACATACAAGAGTTAATTTGCCGGAAAGAGAAAAAAGAGTGTAGCAACGTTATGGCGATAAGTGATTTTAGCTGGTTCTGCACATCCGACCTAATGCTTTTCAGGTCCAGAATTAAGTAAAATTAATGTATTTCGCGGTTCGTTGTAATGCGCACAAAATCGATATTGCGCATGCGCGTTATAGGGCTGAGGCTGGCAACACTTAGAAATTTAAAATTGTTACTCCATTTTTACACCTTTTTGAAATATTTGTCAAATAAAATGAACCATGTAACCTAATTTGAAACTTTCGGCTGTGATGGTAATTTTGTTGCTCCCAGTATATTTGAGGGAAACGTTTGTGTATAATACTGAATATAATAATAATATCGTTTATTCAGCATACACGTTTTTAGAATTATGTACAATAAGTACGTGCTTACACACACAGTATGCTTGTGTGCCCCACGCACGCGCACACAAGCATGGGTATTTTTGTGTATGTGTGTTTGTGTACATCTATTTGATGTATGTAATAATGAGGAAGTAGGTATTTAAAAAAAACATTAGTTCCCGAAATCAAACTAGATGTCGCTACGGTATGTTCTTTATTTCTCCATGACAACCCTTCCGGTTTTTTTTATGTTTAAAAGTAAATTGGTTTTCATAAACAACTCATATTATATTTTTCATATTTGTATTGATATCTATGTTTTGAACATTTCAAATTTCAGTTTTTTAATATGTTAGTTAAAAGGAAGGGAATTGATTGTCTTTGGTCCATGGAGACGCCATCTAGTGGAGGTGCTTTTTTAGTAATTTTGTTTTTTTTTTATACTTCCTCATTCAATGAGGAAAAATTTAAAATTAGTTTCCGAAATCAAACTAGTTGTCGCTACGGTACGTTCTTGATTTTAATCTATATAAAGTTTTTGTTGAATAAATTGTAGTAGAATAAACCTTTATAGATTATTAAATAAACTGAAAAATTGATAGGCTTTATTCAACAAAAAATTTACACGACAATCGATGACGGAATAGTCATAGTTTCCTTTGGTCAAAGCTACTTTTTGGTATAAACCAAAGAGTTTATATCACCACACTCCATGACAACCCTTCCGGCTTCTTTCATGTTTAAAAGTAAATTAGTTTTCAAAACTCAATAAACAACTCATATTCTATTTATACTTTTTCTTATTTGTATGTCGCGTCACTCTAGAGCGGTTTGATTTTTCATGCAATTTATAGACTTTGTGAAAGTTATGGCTAGCACCATTAACTATTACATCTATCTACCTGAGAACCAACTATTTAGTATCAAAACTTTTCTGTGCAAACCAAATTATTAAGAAGTAAAACGTACACATTCGATTATAAATAAATGCTTTTTACCACAGCATATCAGTTTGATCGATGACGTTATTGAATTTTAGAATCATCAACAAAGAGGATTAACCCATTCCTATAGCAAACATATTAAATTACTTTGCAGAAATGACTAATCAGAAATTATCATGTGATGTGGACGATATAACAGCACGAGCTATCGGGGATTTTGGACCTTGGCAATTGCGAATCAGTGTCCTAATGGCGTTATTGAAATTGCCTATGGCTTGGTATCAGTTGAATATAATATTCATGGCTCCGCCACAAGATTTCTGGTGCGAAAAACCTTATGAACTTTCAAAATATTCGGATGATGAATGGCGAAGAATGTGCTTACCTGTGAGTATCTGCCGTTATGAAATATAGAAGTTTGTCCATTATCTTGATAAGAGTCATTCACACAATTTGAAGAGAAATTGTCTTCTACCTACACGTATATCGGGTGTATAGCTGTAATTGCGACTATTGCACCCATAGATTTGCTATTGTGTATGGCATCGCACTAATGGTACCTCTAAAATGTCTACGCAGATATTAGATCCTTACATATGAAATTGGTGTTTGGTATGGGAGGAATAAAAAGACGAATATTTTTTAATATAATATATTTATTTAATCAAAGTATAAACTATTGTTATCAATGCACTTTTGCCATCTCATAAGTAGTTAATTGATCCCCTTACTAAAAAACCATTCGGCCGGAAATCAATAAAATCTTTGAAGGCGATTTGCACTGCCGTTTTGAACTTATCAAAATTTCGAAAAAAATGGTAATCCGTTGGAGCAAGGTTCGGGAAAAGGGAGTGTAAGGAGGTCCGAACAACATCTAACGGATCCCAAGTCAACCTCACCTGCACGCGGTACACCCTGCCGACTAACCAACGAGGCTCTGGCGCTCCCCACCAACCCGCACTGGGCCAGCGGAGTGGAAGACAGCCCTTAACCCCTCAAAGTCATAAAAATAGAGAGAAAGAGTGGATTACCAGTAGTGAAAGCGCTTCAGAAGCTATTTAACTCCGCCATATTCGAGGGCAATACGCCAGAAGCCTGGCGCAGGGGCGTGGTGGAGCTTTTCTTCAAAAAGGGTGACAGGGCCCATTTGAAGAATTACAGACCCATCATGCTTCTGAGTCATGTGTACAAGCTATTTTCGAGAGTAATCACGAATCGTCTCGCACGTAGATTTGACGACTTCCAGCCTCCCGAACAAGCCGGTTTCCGAAAAGGTTACAGTACCATAGACCACATTCATACGCTGCGACAGGTTATACAGAAGACCGAGGAGTATAATCTGCTACTGTGCTTGGCGTTTGTGGACTATGAGAAAGCCTTTGACTCTGTCGAGACCTCGGCCGTGCTCAGGTCACTCAGAAGGTGCCAAATAGACAGTTGCAGTCACTGTATGAAAACGCCACCATGTCAGTTCGGCAAAACTCGAAAGTAATACGATTTCAGCGTGGAGTGAGATAGGGCGATATTATATCGCCAAAACTGTTCACTGCCGCACTGGAGGATGTGTTTAAGCTTTTGGACTGGAGAGAACTTGGCATCAATATAAACGGCGAGTACATGACGCACCTTCGTTTCGCTGATGATATCATAATCATCGCTGAGACCATGGAAGATCTAAGCACAATGCTCGAAGATCTCTGTAGAGTTTCCCAACAAGTGGGTCTTAAAATGAACATGGAGAAGACGAAAATAATGTCAAACTCCCATGTTGTACCCACTCCAGTGAATATAGGAGGCTTTACACTAAAAGCTGTCGACGAGTACGTTTACCTGGGACAAATAGTCCGATTAGGTAAGTCCAACTTCCAGAGAGAGGTAAATCGACGGATCCAACTCGGCTGGGCACCGTTGGGGAAGCTACGCAGTGTATTCTCGGAACATCTACCGCAGTGTCTCAAGACGAAAGTCTTCAATTCGTGCGTGTTGCCAGTGATGACATACGGAACGGAGACGCTTACGATGGGCCTCATAAGGAAGCTCAAAGTCGCTCAGAGTGTAATGGAAAAGGCTATGCTCAGGGTTTCTTTGCGAGATCAAATCCGAAATTATGAGATCCGCAGAAGAACGAAAGTCACCGACATAGCCCAACGAATTGCGAACCTCAAGTGGCAGTAGGCAGGGCACTTCGCTCGCAGGACTGACAGCCGGTGGGGCGGTAAAGTCTTGGAGTGGCGACGCAGCGGGAGACGCAGAATTGATAGGCCCCCCCACAAGGTGGACCGACGATCTGGTGATGGTCGCGGGAAGCCGCTGGATGCGGGAGGTGCAGGACCGATCACGTTGGAGATCTTTGGGGGAGGCCTATGCCCACCAGTGGGCGTCTCGGCTGATATGATGATGATGAAGCTTCGGGGAGTATGGTGGATGTCTTAGACATTCCAATTGAAGCTATTCTAATTTGGTAGCCGTCTGTTGTGCAGTGAGTGGTCTAGCGTCGTCGTGAAGTAGCAGTGGCGTAGAGCGATTGATCAGCCTCGGTTGATTAACAGCTAGTTTATCCACCATTGTTTGCAATTGCTGCCAAAAACGTCTGCCGTAATCGTCTGCCCAGATTTGAGAAAACTGTAATTAACGACACCGGCACTAGTCCACCAAACACTTACAAGTAACTTTCTTGGGGAAAATTTTTGCTTGGGGCAGTATTTGGCTGGCATGCCAGGGTCCAACCATTGCGATGAGCGCTTCCGATTATCGTAGACTTTTCATCACAGGTAATGATTCGATTTAAAAACCCTTCATTATTGTGCCGGTTAAGTAATGTAAGGCAGCAGTCGAAGCGCGTTTGCCGGTTTGCTTCATTAAATTCGTGAGGTACCCAACTTTCAAGCTTTTAATCTTTCCAATTTGCTTCAAGTGGATTAGAACAGTTTTATCAGTAACACCGCAGCCTGCAGCTAACTCGGACGTGGTTTGCGATGGATCCGCTTCCATAATAACCTTCCATTCTTTATAATTAACTTGGGTCTCCGGCCGTCCACGGGGCTAGTTCTGGAGGTCGAAATTTCCAGAACGAAAACGTTGGAACCAAAAATGCGCTTTGTTCTCTTTTGCAACACAACCGCCATACACATCATTAACCCTTCGAGCCGTTTCCGCCGCACTGGTACCACGGTGGAACTCGTACTCGTAAATAACACGATATTTCAAGTTTTCCATTTTTTATACTGGGTGACGTAAAAAGGAAAAACAAAAGAAAAAAACACAAATGAATGCTGCCTAACGAAACACAAATACATGTATAATGTAAGGACCTAATATAATTTTAAGTATCCTGCCAATTTTGCTTGTGCCGGAATACCAAAGAGAGCAATCTTTTAAATAGACCAGACAGAATATAGTGAATCAGATTTAATAGAAAGATACTTTAACACTTTCTTAGCACATAGAAGAATATCCGTGTCTGATATTTGATCCAGACTTGCTAGCGATGGTACCGCCTTTAGACCGAAGCCTTATACCACTGGTGAAGTGTAAAAAGTTTATTTACAACGAAACGGTGTTTCGTAGAACTATTACTTCTGACTGGAATTTAGTATGCTCACAGCACTGGCTTGTGCATGTACGTAAATAATTGGATGATTATTTTATTCTCATATTATATTCTTTTAAAAATAAGTAATCGCTCGAAGAAAAATCTACCAATATGACTTCAAACTTTTTCAGTTTACTCAGTGCGTGATGATGTGGGGAGTTCTTCTAGGTGGCATAATATTTGGCGTCGTAGCTGACAAATATGGAAGGAGAATGCCTCTTATGGTTGCAATTATATTGCAAAGTATAGCAAGTTATGGAGCTAGCGTATTTCCATACTATTGGGGTTGGTTGGTTATTTGGTTCATTTTAGCGCTATGTTCTGGGGGTTTGGGTATAATATCTTTTGTTATTTGTATGGAGGTGAGCTGCAGTTTTAAACAAATGTAATTGCACCTAAATTAAATGAAACGATACAGAAATTACTTTATTTTCAGGCAGTGAGCGGTAAATGGCGCACTACAATTCCAATTTTATACCAACTGCCATTTGGATTCGGTAGTTTAATCATGGCAGTGTTTGCCTATTTACTTCGCGACTGGAGGAAATTAGAATTTGCTTTAGCGTCTTTGTCTGCTTTATTTATGTTGTATTGGTTTTGGATACCGGAATCGCCTAGATGGTTATTGGCAACTGGTCAAGTTGATAAAGCTCTTGGTAAATATAATCTAAAGCATAATGTACGAATGAAAATTCACTCAACCTGATTTTTTTAGATAAATAAAAGCAATTATTTTTTAATAATAATTAATAAGACTTCAAAAACATAATCACCATCTTTAATTGAATAGAGCTATATTTCGCATTGTCAGAAGACGAAATCTTATGCTACATTTGGCAAATGTTGCTTATTTATTAGTTATCAACTTGTTGTCTATGAAAATAATTTCACAAGAATCGTAACGGTTTGAAAGTATTTAATTTAATTTATTTCTTAATAAAAATGGTTAAATAATCCACCAACGTCAGGTATTCTGATATGGGACGCCAACCCGCGACCTTCCGCAATTTGGGCGACTGCTCTAACCACTGAGCTAACCATGACCTAACAGGACTGACGAATATAAGCACTTGTTACTTTTCTTTACTAGAAATCTATCCAAATGTCCGAAAAAAATATTTTTCACAAATACTTTCGATTAAGATGAAAATTTGTTCTAATTATTATGTTTTATATTTTTTTTAAAGCATTTTTCATTAAAAATATTTTCCAATATAGCATTGTGAATGCAGAATACAAAAGGAGTCTTTTGTCTTTACGCGCAGCCTTAAAAGACGTGTGTCCATTTAGCCTCTTCTTTGAAAATGTAGCTATATTATCTAGCAACTAATTTCCTTTCTACATAAATAGAGATATTAAGAAAAGCTGCAATGCAAAATCACTTGGATCAAAACTTAGAAACTACTAAAAATTCCTTGCCGAAATGCAAGGGCCAGAAAGGTAATGGGGTTGGATTCATAGCATTCTTTAAACTTAAAAACATGAGGAAGAAGACATTACTTTTATCTGCTAATTGGTAATATTCCTATTTAATATTTAAAAATGAGGTATTTAGAGTTAGGGTCGGTGCATACTTGTCGGAAGATACGTCGCGTCTTATCGGTTGCGGAAATCGAGTCTCAGAACTGACAAATAATGTTAAAGTTATTGCTTATCATAGGATTGCTACCATGTCCTTCTTATATTTCTGCCGTCCTTATGATAACTGCAACAACGCAAAATTTTATTTAAATCTGATTTACCTTTATTTTCCACTTAGATTTTTTTTTGTAATGACTATATGATATATTATTTTGATTGTAGTTTTAATATGATATATTATTTTGATTGTCAAAGATACACATATAAAAATCTCGAATTACGATTAACTCAAAAGTAGCCTAAACCAAGTTATTGCACTTTTCATAAGAACTTTCATTTTTCAACTCGTTAAATAAGATACATGGAAGTAATCCAGTGATTAATTCATTTTGCACACTCGAGACGCTCAACGTATCTACCGTCAAATTTGCACCGACCCTTAGACTGTAAACTGGTAAAAAGTTTTGCATTTCAGGTTTTGTACAGGACTGGCATTTTACGCTTTTTCCCAATATCTTGGAATGATAGGGGGAAATATATTTTTAACTGTCGCTTTAAGTGGTATTATTTACGTGCCCGGGGGATTAGTTTGTCTTTTTGTGGTGGCAAAGGTGGGCCGCAGACCCACCGTGTGGATATTTGAAATCATAACAGCATTGTGTTTTGTTTTTATTTTAATGACCCCTAGAGACATTTTTGCAAACGATTGGCCAAGATTAGTTTTTGCAGGCATTGGATTCGGCGCAATAGCAGTAAGTATCTCAAATAATTAACAGTGGCGGCCTTAAGAGGGCAGTCCCACAAGAAAAATCTATCTTAAACTTAAAATTGGTTTTAATAAAAAATGAGAAAGTTACATTATATTTGTACGGAGTCTTTCATAGTTAAAATGTGAATTTATAAACTTTTCTCGGTACCATAAAATAAGTCTTACCCCTCAAATTCAGAATTATATATTTCTTTTTGTAAATATTCACCATTTCAGACTATTTTTAACAAATAAACAGAAATAAGTAATTTTATGAAAAAAAAAATTGTTTTAATTACTTTTTCACCATTAATAAACTAGGCAAGTTAAACTATAAAGACCGAAATTAAACTTCGTTCACTACTGTAAAAAAAATCCGTGGTCGGAACCTCCAGGCTATTCATAGTTATTATCTGTAATTTTTATTTAATTGAAAATGGCTAGATAATACCAATTTTTTTCTAGGGTTCTGTAGCAGCGTTATACCTGTATTCCGGAGAATTGTTTCCAACCCTAGGCCGTAACGCTGGTGTGGGTGGAGTCACAACATTTGCTCGTATCGCTGCATTAGTGGCTCCTGCTGTAGTCAGCCTGGACAGTATTTTGCCAGACCTGCCCATGATGTTGCTGGCCGCAGTTAGCATCGCTCAGATATTCTTAATCGTGCCTTTGCCGGAGACTAAAGACTATCCATTACCGGATACGTTAGAGCAGGCCGAGCAATTTACAAGGTAACAAGTCACCGAAATAGAGATTACTTACGCCCGTCTGGGTATGCAAGAATGCAATTTATATAGTAATCTTCCAACTAGCATAAAAATTTTTTTACTCTCTATTTCGATTAATACTGTCCTCTGTCCCAATTTTTCTCATTAGCTGAGGTGTTAATTTCTCTCGTCATCTCTTATCTTTATACCGAGTGTCTCCCATTTTCACAAACATCCATTAAAATTGTCATTAGTTCAAAGAGACACATTGACAGTTGCACAAACGTATCGGTAAGGTTGCTTTAAACTAATGAATATTTTAATGAACGTTTGTGCAATTGGGTGATCATCGATACAAATGTTCAAAGAAGAATGTTCACTCTCCATACAAACGTCGACCTGTCAATTTTCTTTCGATTTATGTTTTAAATATGTTCGTATATCATTGTTATAAATATAAATTATTTTTGCAATCAGTAAGCTAAGTAATTATAAAATAAAGATGTTGCAAAATGTCAAATAGAAATCTGATTGATCATCTTAACAAGAAAAAAGTATTATAATTAATCGTTATTAGAATCTATTCACTCTTTTCAAATCTTAACTTTTCGTTAATATCTAGTTTTCATAAGTTTGTTAGTCCCATCGAATTATACTAAACACCAATAATAAAAATAATACTTAAGAGCGAGAGGTCAGCAATTTCTTTAGCAAATTATTAACTAATATTACTTTAATAATTCATAATATAAAAAAAATATTTATCTCGTTCTTACTCGAGACTAAGAAGTTTGTTAATTTTATTCGATATCTTCTCTAACAATGGCAACATTTAAAAATGCTGCTATGAAACGATGTTGTTTTGGTGTTGTGCCCATCCTACAAACCAAACTATACACATAGCATGAGCACAATATCCAAGAGTTCGTCATCTCACCAAGCAGCCGTAGCTAGATGTCATGTCAAAATAGAAAGTATAGATATAGCACAAAAGGCAAGAGATAAATTATTAATTAATAATTGAAATATTTGTAATAATATTACTATAATAATTAATTTCGTTTGTTCATTTAATGCACGATTTTTTCAGAAAATAATCAATTTATATTAATTTATAGAGGTATTTTAAATTAATTAAAAATTAACATATTCCTTGTAATCACGCAATAACAAACGGAAAGGACTTTTTAAACATAACCAAAAGTAATAATGAAATGAGTTTATTACTAGCTTTCGCCAACGGCTTCGCCCGCGTGGACCCTAGGAAAATGTTAAGTGGTATAAAAAGTCAGCTAATACCCAATCTGTATACCAAATTTCATTAAAATCCATTCAGTAGTTTCGGCGTGATTGACCGACAAACATCTAAACATCCAAACAAAGAAACTTTCACATTTATAATATTAATAGGATTAGCGAAATTTTGTTTACCTATCATAAAAATCATAACAGGAGTTGATATTTTAGTCAACTATAACAAGTAACAATAAAACTGAACAATAACAATCGAAACCAACAAAAACAAGAAAAATGATGTGCGATTTCAACACAAGCCGACTCATAGCGGTACTGATTTTTTTATTATTAGCATTAGCAATTTGCGGGGATTATAAAAAATATTGTAGCCAATTTTTATTCTCTTTAATAACACTGCCCAACCATTATCTACTTTATAAACTTTTCCAAAAATATTTTATCACGTTTGATGTATTTTGATGTACTCATTTAAAAAATTACCCTGATATTTTTGTAGCTCTAGTTTAAAGATTTTTCAAACTACCCGCACTTTATTTTTATCACGTTTGACGTATTTTGGTGAGCTCATTGCAAAAATAACCTTGATATTTTTGTAGCTCTAGTTTAAAGATTTTTCAAACTACCTGCACTTTAGGTGACAGCGCATATTTAAGGAGTTTCAACTAGTGTATTATTTTTTTTTTTCGTTGAGAGAAAGAAGAGACGTTGTTTAAACGAACCTGGAAATCAGTTGACCGTTTGTGGTAGATTTCTGCCGTTTGGGCAGATTTTACACCAAAATTTTAACTGTGGCAGATTATGCTTAATATTCGAAATAAGTGGCAGTTTTTGAAACAAATCTGTATCTGCTTTGAAATACATTTGTAATTATGTATTTTTATTAAAAATACTTATGATTTTTAATATCTTATAGTTCCTTACTTATTTTAATCCAACTACGGCACACAGTAAAAAATCATACATTTATATTAATTTATGACTAGTGAATGAATTTAAAACTAGAGCTGCTAGAAAAACATTAAAATTGTTATTAGGTTAATGCCACATTACCCTTATTTAGAACATTCATTAGAGCTTAGCCTCCATTAAACTATAATGGACGTTTGTGAAATTGATTGAAAAACTAATGGTATTTTCATAACCAGTACACTTAACTAAAATAAACTAGAAATATACTGCAATTTTTTTCTCAGTTGAGCAGTGTAATATTTTTAATTAGTTCCCCATTAACATTTTTATTGAAAAATAGTTATTTATAAATAACAAAAAAATGCTATTTATGCGATTAATACTTCACTATACCCGATGATTGCTTATCTCGATGTTGACAGGTCAGAATTGAATATTCTTCTTAAGAACAGTCTAGAGTATTTTTGCACTTCGCCTATATGAATGTTATTTTCTAATAGATATTATTAAACCTTTAAAAACTTTCGAAAATAAACTTATATTGCGTGTAAACACATACCAAGTATAAAAAAGAACTCAAATACTTCTCACCCTTTGAGAGAATGCGTTTCCGATGTCTATCAAATACTCATGATTAGAAAATTAGTTAATACTGATATTATTTTTAATAGATCGAAAATACTTCTTTATTACATTCCTTTGACTATTGCCTTATTAATTATTATAAGTTTAAAATCTATAGCTAAAATTACATATTTATGGAACTCTGTGCACGAGATCGATTTGCACTTAGTCGGATTTTTAGAACTATTAGGATAAGTTATTTTACACAATACCTATAGTAAAATACAAAAAAAATATAGTCTCAGTTACTATCGCTCAACACGGTTTGTTAAAAGTTACCGTTTTTTTTGGGTTATTGTAAAATATTATATTATAATGTGAACGAAAACTTTATTATGACACTGTACCTTTAACGAATGTGCCAATTTTATTTCAGAAGCACTGAGCAATATCAAAATTTTTCAAAGAAACGAAAAATGAAACTGGGGTTTTCATAACTGAAATGTATCATTTATTTATCTCTATTACTTTACTCTAAGGTGTTGTGAACTGATATTTATTTGATTCTGTCATACATTGCAAATAATGTTCAATATAAATGAAAATTTTTGGAATATTATTGACATTTTATTATGAATTTCCTTAAATCTCTTTTGACAGGTTTCGTGGTATAATGACAACTTAATAATTCAACTAACATATTGCACATTGCAAAACTTAGATGATAAAGGTACCATTACATATTTTATTTGGTTTAGGTAAACAAATATTCTTAATGAAGATAGAATGAATACATGTACACAGAACTTACATAGTTGCAAATATTTAGACAAAAAAAACAAAAGAATTATGAAATAAAGTAACATTAATTTTGTCATGTAAAGAAACTACACAAAATGAAGTAACAATAATAGGAAATGTGAGATCTATGTACCATATTTTAATTATTTATACAAAAGTTTATTTTACTTACTTGTACTATTTACTATGAAATGCTTTGTTGGAATTAATTAAATCTTTCTTGATAACAATTATTAATTATATTTTTTTTTGTTTGTGAGTTGAATCTTAATGTTCTCGATCCTGTGTAATAATGTTGGATGTGAATGATACCAAGCAGAATAAAGTTTATCATAAATTGGATAATCCAAGTTATCTTTACCAAGCTTGATAAGAGCCGATTTAAGTTCATTAGGATAATTCAATGCTACTGCAAAATTGTCTGCTTCAAACTCAAATTTCCTAGAAAGGGCTGTAGTAAAGTATGACAATATAGAATTGTACGGAGCAAGGATCATTTGCAAAACTACAATCAGTCCAATAATTATAGGCTCTTGCCCTGCAGGAAAACCAAGGGCTGTATACAGTGTAGAATATTTAAATAATAAACCGAATGCAGTGAAAAGTAATAAAAGGTTTACTTCAGTCAGCACAATTGATTTGTAGATATGACTACAGCTCCAATGTCCAAGTTCATGTGCCAAAACACCGAGTATTTCATCATCTGAACATCCAGTTGTGGTCTTTTTCTCTTCATCATATTTTTCTAATAGAGTATCAAATAAGACAATCCTCTTTGCTCCAAACAACCCACTAAAGTATGCATTACTATGAGCCGATCTTTTTGACCCTTCTACAATGTAGACCTGAGAAAGTGGAAACTGCAGTCTCGAGGCCAAATTTTCAATACCTTTTCTAAGACTACCTTCAGACAGAGGTACAAATTTATCAAACAATGGTGCAATCACAGAAGGATAAATCGTCAATAGGATTAATGTTACAACAGTGGTGAATAACCATAACCACATAACAAACATTTTGCCTCCAAGCATTATAATATAAATAGCAACAGATATTATGGGCAATGTGATGACTAGGCTTAACAGTAAAGATTTCATTTGATCTTTAACAAAAAAACCCACAGTTTGTTTGTTAAAGCCATGTTTTTCCTCCAGTACAAATATACCATAAATTGTAAATGGCATATTAACTATGAAATTGAATATAGTGACAAATGTCATAAAAACACAACTCACAAGTATCTCTCTATCTGGCGAGATATTCATGAATAATGCAATATCTTCAGACTTCTTCCATGCTGAATATATCCATTTATTGTAAAGAATTATTGTTGTTAATACTATGCTATACAACTCTTTGGCTATTTTAAATTGAGACTTATCAATCCCATATAATCTAGCTTTCTTAAATGATTCTTCATTAAGCATGTCTTTTAGGTCTTCTGGTATAGTGTTGTTTGTCTTGTATATCTTCAACTGAAAACAGTAACATAGAATATTAAATAGCCAATCTCTAATTTGATATCTAAGATGGTTTAAATTTAACTTGCTTATGAGAATATATCTTTTGTTGTTTTCTGATCATAAATCAATTTATTTACAATCAGTATAAAGTGAGATATCTAATATAGTAACATAGAATTAGATCTAGAAGCCAACAGAAAATGAATTTTCAAATAGGAGATAATATACAATAGTGAAAGAGAATAGCCATGCAATTAGCGTTTTATGTGTATTATTATTATCTTGTTTATGAGTAAATAACCATTCTTAAATTTAAAAATTAAAGAATTACCTGACGTAAAGAAAGATATTGTTCCCACAAGTATTCCACCCAAGAGAACAATAGTATTAGAAACACTATACAATCTTCATCGATAGTTATCGCCATAGTAAATTATTTAATTTAGAACTGCAAATAACCTTAAAAAGTAGAAATCCGTTCCTAATAAAATCACCGACTGCCGAAGAATATCGAACGTTGGACACATTGCACATGTCAGATGACTGTCAGATATTGTCTATGACCACAGACTATCTATGACTGTCAGCATAGCAGATACTCAGGGATGTTAGACGGCCACTTAGAAATCCTTGTGCCGAGCTGGCTGAAAGCTGGTATTCGAAGGGGGAAACTAGTACGCCTGTGCTCCGCTCTGGCGCTGCCAATTCTGGGAGACAAATTGTGTGGGAAATCGCATCTCAGTAAAAAAAAAATGCACATTTCAATTTCGTATACCGTTAATAGAGGGCAGTAATTATCGAACACACGGAAGAAATATCACTTTTAACATTTTTTTTTTTGTTATTATATTGCATTTCGGATATAATATGTAAAATATATTGAAAAAAATAAATAAATGATTTGTAACGAAGATTTTTTATCGAAAACGGCGGTTCGCTTGAGCAAACAACTGATACTAAGTATTTAAAAAAAAATCCCGTGCAGGAATCGAACCTGGGGCCCCGTGAACGTCTAACATGTGAAATCTAACATATTGAGAAAATAACGGCGGAAAATGGTAACTGCTCATCGAGACAGCTTGATATAATAAAGTTTTCTGACATTAAGGAAATATTTATTTTTTTACATACATCTCTGTAATTTGTCGATTATTCTATGTTGTCAGTGTATTTTTGTCGGTCAACGACCAATCTTGGTATTTTTGCATACAATGACTGAGTTGTCTTGGTACATGGTACGTGACACTAAAAACTAGTAAGTATACCAAGAAGTTGGTACGTCTGACATCATTGCAGATACTTAATCTTCATTCATACATACAAAAGAAACTCATTCTCTAAGAAGATTCTCTATCAGACATAAGTCTATGGCTCATTTTTTATTTTGACAGCTCCCAGTCACTTCACATAAAAATTATAATTGTACTTCGCCGCAAACGCCCTCTTTTTAAATATTTTTGGCTCGGATACAAAGTATTTTAAGTTAAAACTTTGTTTTCACTGTCTTCGATTTTGTCAGATTTCAAAGTTTTTCAATGGAAGATTTTATAGACTTTTTGGCACAAAATATTCCGACTTTTTAAATAACGGCGTTGCCCTTGTGGATTTCTCCAGAATCCAGTGTTTCTCTCAGTTTACTTAATATTTTAGTATTTTATAAACTCTACCTTTTGTATGTTGGTAATGAAAGCCATAGCAAAATTTTGGATTTTGTTGAAAATTTTACCTTCTTGAAAGGAACTTACACAAATTAAGTATTACCGATGTTAGACAATTTTATGACAGACAAATTAAAGACTTACCTATATAATTACATAGGATGATAACGAACGGGGAGTTAACATATCTAGCGGCAATGGGACATCATTCACATTTTTAGAAAGATCTACTCGCGAATCAAGACTTTGCATAGATAATGAGGAAGTATTTAAAAATCAAAATTAGTTCTTGAAATCAAACTAGATGGCACTAGCGATTTCGGATAATGAGGAAGTATTTTAAGTAAAGTAAAAGCACTAAAACATCACCTCACTAGATGGCGACTCTAGCAAAAGTTGATTTTTGCAAGAAACGAATGGACTAAAGATATTTGTCACGTCCGTTCCTTTTAACTAACATATTAAAAAACTAAAATTTGCAAAGTTCAAAACTTAGATATCAATACAAATACGAAAAAGTACAAATAGAATATGAGTTGTTTATTGAGTTTGGAAAATTAATTTACTTTTACACATGAAAAAAAACTGGAAGGGTGGAATCAAGAAAGCTATGCACAGCAGAGCTATATGCAGCGCAGTCTGAGGAGGACAACCATGTTCTCCTCAGACTTCTCAAAAACTTCCCTCTCTGTGTGTATGTGGTCTAAGGTACTGTAGTCTTTCCGAAACCCAGCCTGTTCCGATGGCTGGAGGACGTCTAATATTGCAGCAAGATGATTAATAACGACTTTCGAGAACAACTTTACTTATAGAAGTGGCTCAGAAGTGTGATCGGTATGTAGTTCTTCAAAAGACATTTATCTCCTTTCTTGAAAAACAAAGTCACCACACCTCTGCTCCACGCCTTCGGGGTAGTTCCATTGATTATAGTGGGAACTAAATGGCTTCTTTTGTTCTCCAAGCATAGATTAAGGAGCCAAGAAGTGATTCAGTCTTCACGGGAGCCTTCCCATTTCCAAGTTGTTTGAGAGCAGCCAAAGTTTCGTTTTCGTCAATGTCTCGGAGACCTTCAGTTAAATGACTCCTAATCGTAAGTGTAGCTCTAGGATCATTTGCATTGGATGAAGGTTTTGGGGCATGCGAAGCATAAAGTCGGCCTTAAAAATCTTCAATTTCAGCGAGAATCACTGGAACCGAAGTGACGACTCTGTCATCCTAGGTTTTGAGTTCTGTGAGATGAGTTCTCACAAGTCTTTGGCAAAGATTTTTGCCGCCCGATTTTGCTCAATAGTTTCCTGTATAAGCAAGTTATTGACTACGGAGGTCACGCCTTACCAATCATCCGGATGTTGTTGTGGAGCGACCACGTGTCTGACAGTCTCCCGCGGTAATCCTCGACGAAGTTTCATCAGTTCCAATGTCCCGCTAGATAGTTTAGACTTTCGACTAGCTTGCTTTACCTTAAGTACCTAAGTGCCTATTTTCCACTTCGCGTATAATCCCTACTACATCTTCAAGATCCTCGTCAACATTTGCCTTGGTTTCCAATGCAACGAATCGGTTGCATAGTTCTCAACAGAATGCTTGGCAACCATGACTGGCTCGGAGAAGCGATGGACAAAGAACAGATCTCGTCATGCGGCTTCTCTTTTGCCTAAAATTGATATTTAGGGTACCTCTTACAAGTCGGTGGTCTCTTCCGGCATTGAACCTATTGACCACGGAGACATCTCTATATATGCGCCTATTGTCTGTCATGATAAAATCTATTTTGTTCTTCGTCTTGCCATATGTACTTTGCCAAGTCCACTTCCTTTGGGGCTTTTTTAAAAAAAAACGTTTCTTATAGAACAGTTCCTCCTTGTTGAGGAACTTGACTAGCATTTGCCCCCTGTGCCCAAATTCCTATGCCCAAAACCTTGTAGTCCAATATGTGATTCGCCATATTCTCGTACTCCCATTTTGGAATTGAAATCCCCTAAGACAACGGTGAAGTGGGTCTTAGTAGTAGTTTGTATGGCCTTGGTGATATCTTCGTATAGAGCTTCGACCTCATCGTCCAAGTATGTCGTTGTTGGTGCATATACGTGTACCATCTTCAGAGCGTACCTCTTAGTTAGTTTAAGTACTACGCAAGTTACCCTATTCGACACACTGAAGATCTCCAACACGTTGTCGCAGAGAACTATGTTGGCAAGAAAGCCTACTCTACCCTGGGATAGTTGATCTCCGTATCGGAAGTAGAAAATGTGACCAGGTTTCGGGGTTATCGTGTCTTGTCCCTGTCTTCGGACTTCGGAATCCCTAGAACGTGTCACTTAACGATTTTCAATTACTCCTCGAGTTCGATCAAACTACCGCGCATCTGTAAACTGTCCCCCCCGCCCCACTGTAACCAAAACCGCTGCCGTGGCCTGGCTTAGCGAGGCGGCCGGGAACTGGGGGCCGTGTTCTAGGTTGGTTTTTCATGTGGGGGTTTATGCTCTACTCACCATGCTGGGCACAAGGGTTGGTGAGCGCAGAGTTTCGCATTGACGACGCTGCAGCCCGCAATTAGTCAGGAGATTTGCCTCAGTTTTTTAGATGGTTAAACCGCCATCGGTTCGTCGCCAGTCTTGTTCGTTTATCAGCAGAGTGTCCCACGTGCAGAAGTTGGCATTGGGAGTTTTTTGGGGTGGTTTTAATAATAGATTTTCTGGGTCAATTTTTTTTCTGCTATGTCATTCCTGCTTTGTGTTTATCAACCATTTTTTACTTGCTTCCTAAGTAAATACCTGGAATGGGGACTGCATCAAGATAATATAGTCGTATTTAAATAAAATATAAAAATGCTGCCATGTTTCGGTATTTATTTGATTTTTTAGAATATAGTGAACACAAAAATAATGTTTTAAATTACTTTGTAGGTTTCTCCATTAGGTTAGAAATATTATACAGGGTGGGCCATGAATTAGTTAACATTTGAAAAAATCGTATAAAAAACACCATTTAACATATTTTAGAAATCGTTTATTTACGAGAAAGCTAATTAGTTGTAATTTATTTTTTATTTATTTATTTATTCATTCAACAAAGTTTCAACAGCAGTTTTGTTATTTCTATACAAAAATAAGTATGCAGCATTGACGCCAATTATAGAAACTTATTATGTTTACTTTTAAAAATTATTTCGTCTAAATGACCACCGTTTCGGTTTTTGCACTCATCTAAGCGAGTCCTGAAGTTTTCAAATACTCTTCTGTAAAGAGACCGCGAGATCGCCGACATCTCTTCGATGATTTTTTCTTTAAGTTGACGCAGTGTATTCTGTTTATCAATGTAGACACCACTTTTTAAATAACCCCATAAAAAGAAGTCTGCTGGGGATAGATCTGGACTTCTGGGTGGCCATGGGATGTCACCACGTCTGGATATCAGCTTTTCCGGAAAAATGTCTTTGACCACCGGCAAGTGCTCGTTCGATGTGTGACACGTGGCTCCATCTTGTTGAAACCATGTGTTACGATTATAGCCAGCAAATTCCAGTAGCATCGGTGCTAAAAACTCCCGTAACATTTTCACATACTCGGCAGAATTAACAGTAACTGAACGGCCTCGAGAATCTTAAAAAAAGTAAGGTCCGATGATTCCTTTTCCTGAAATTGCAGCCCATACAGTTACCTTAGGAGAGTGAAGTGGCCTCTCATGCTTAGCTTTAGGATTTTCGCTGCTCCAATACCTGCAATTCTGTTTGTTTACATGTCCATTTAGGTGGAAATGGGCTTCGTCAGATAATAAGATGTTGTCAAAATTACTGAATCGAGTTAACATTGTTTCGGCATATGACTTACGCAAATTTAAATCATTAGGGTTTAGTTCTTGCACTAGCTGGATCTTATATGGATGTAATTTCAAATCTGATTTCAAAATACGGCGTAATGATGTGCGGGATAATCCTAATTCAGACGAACGTTTGCGTGTCGATAAACCTGGATCAGGTCGAACAGAAGCGGAAACTTGCTGCACGTTCTCTTCGCTCCGAGAAGTCCGCGGGCCACCGGTTTGTTTCACATTTAGTGTAGATCCCGTCTTTTCGAACTTCTTCACCCATTTCTTTATTAAAGGAGCACTTGGACACTGACTTAAGTCGTGTAAACCATATTCAACGCGAAATAAGCGTGTCACAGTAATGAGCGAAAAGTTGTTTAAATAAAACTGTTTCACGCAGTAAGCGCGTTGCGGCCCCGTGAAGCGATCCATTGCGACTAAATTTCCAAGAAGCGAGCTAGTGCCCCCGCCCGCGCCCGCGCCCCGCGCGGCAATAGTTTGCGCGGTAAGTTACATTTAAATGTTAACGAATTCTTGGCCCACCCTGTATTATGATGCAATGTTATTAATAAAATTCAAAAGGGTGAGTTTAACGATTGGAGAATACTTTGTATTGCAAGCATTGCAAAAATGTAAAAAGAAAGAAAATAAAAATTTTAATAAAAAATCATGTGTTTTATTTATCTGGCCGAAATTAAAATTACTTTAGAAATTAAATAATTTAAGAGGATATGGCGAGTGAGGGCAGCGCTGTCTAAAACCGGCAAAAAGGTGAACCCCGTACCATAATTTGCATTATTAGAAAAAGAAGAACTCGAATGTTAATAAAAGTTGTCATAATCAACAATTAAGGTTTAGAGCAGAGAATATTTTTTAAATTGTTTTATCTATTACCTCAAAATTCATAATGTGAAAGTATTTAAAAAAAAACCAAAGCTCTAAAAAAGCACCTCCGCTAGATGGCGACTCTAGCAAAAGTTGATTTTTGCAGGAAACGAATGGACCAAAGACCGTCATTTCCGTTCCTTTAAACTAACATATTAAATAACTAAAATTTGAAAAGTTCGAAACTTCGATATCAATACAAATACAAAAAAGTACAAATAGAATATGACTTATTTACTTTTAAACATGAAAGAAAACCGGAAGGATTGTCATGGAGAAATCAAGAACGTACTGTAGCGACATCTAGTTTGATTTTGGGAACAAATGTTTTTTTTTTATTAAATGTTTTTATTTTCTCAAAAATTTTAATGACTTATTGTGAAACTTAATATTCATTCATATTATGTGTATTCGTGATAAAGAATTGTATTTTATCACTGTTTGCTTCGTTGTTGCGGAGCATTTTTTTTCTTTTTGCATAGTATGCATAAAACTGTAATAAAATCTTTCTCGCTAATTTGTATCTGACTGGTTCTGGTATCATTTAAAAGTTTGAATTTTGAAGAAGATAATTCCGAATCAAAATTAGGATGATATGTGGCTTTAATTTGTTTTTCTTACTATTAAAATATGTAAATCTAATAAAGAAATTCGATAGATTTTTAAATTTTATTATAAAAAGGGTTTTTATGCAACGTAAGAGATGAAAAAAATTGTGACTTTGGACCTAGCGCAGTTTCTTTGAGACAATCTTGAATCTTGATTGTCAATTTGCACAATTGACACAAATGTGATTTAAGAGTTTTCAGTCCGGAATGTTTTTGATGTTAAAGATGCACGTCGCTCCCGTCGCACCATTTCAATAAAATTACAAACATAAACTCCTTTTTTAAGTCGGCTTAAAAGAAGCCTATATCACTCTCCATCCCTTCAACTATCACCACATAAAAAATCACACTAATCGGTTGCTTCGTTTAGACGCGAAAGATGGACAAATAAACACATTTCACATTTATAATATTTATAGGAAGGATTAGTTTCTTAAATCAAATAATTTTTGATGTTAACTACCTACTCTGCTATATCATGTAACAAAACTTACTGAATTCTAAATAAATCTTACAATAACCTATCAAAGCTTACAAAAATAAAACGAGTGTCAAACAAAACCAATCGATCAGGAGCGATAGAACTCCCGAGTGCAGTTTCGGTTTCGGTCGTAGATACTACTGACCGGTTTGCCACCGGAACCGAAACCCGTTTTTTGCCGAAAAACGGAAACTATCGAAACTATCTATTATTATATAATTTATTTATATTTAAAATATATTAATAGATATCCCCCGTAATCACAATGCCTACTTTAGGCCCACCTTCCTATAGTTCCTTGTTTCGCCTAGATGAGAACTTATTGTTCGATTTATAGTATTAACTAGTTTTTGCCCGCGACTTCGTCCGCGTGATATAGTTACTTTGGGCATCATATTTTCCAAAAACGCTGTTTTTAGCTGATGATGAAATTACCTTGATGTTTGAGTTCGAAGATAGTACAACAAAATACCAACGAATGTCCAATATGTTTCAGCACTTTATCTTTGAAACTTTACAGATATTAATCCAATTCAATGCTATTTGAAATAAAGATGAAAATGAAAACAGTTCTGAAGTTTACACAAAACTTAATCGAATATCGTAATATTCGCAAAATTCTTTGAAAGAAACGTTACCGCAGATTACTTTAGAATAAACGCCATCTAGAACACAGCGTCATCTATTGGGTGTATTTGCAACCTAGATGTCAAACAATATTGAAGAATTTTATCCATTTATCTATGAATGAACGTACACCGCCATCTATGAGAACTTCATAAAACTAAACAGTAAATAAACACTTGCTTAAGAAACAATTAATTAGAACATTTTATTTGATTACATTCACGACTTATACGAATAATTGAGATGATAACTGTCCTATTCAGTAAGTTAGACCAAAATACGGGTACGTGAAATTTGATTGAAATCGGTTCAGTAGTTTTAGAGTTCATTGGCTACATACATCGTGACACAATTTTTTTATATATATAAGATAAGATAAGATGGAATAATTAATTGTTCATTTGATCAAGGCCTTTTATTTTAAATTCAACATTTTTAGATGCTTGTGTATTCTATCTAACATTGATATCGACATTATCTACAGAGTTTTTCTAAAATGATTATGCAATGGTCCTTCTTCTGAATATCCTGCAATTTCTTGAGGGACAATTGAGCTTTCGTCTATACTGCCGCAAGGCCGGCACATGCATTCCAGAGGAGCTTTAGTTGACACCTGTATTAAAAATAAAGTTATTAATATATTTAATGATATTTAAAATAATAATATGCTCTACAATTTTCATACTATAAAAGAGTTATTAGTATTTTGTAGACTCCCGAATCGTTTTCACCAATTTGCGACCAAATGCGATTCAGACTCGCCCATGTAAGATTTACATACAGTGTCGTCGTTAGGTTATTCAAACTCGATTTTAAATCTTAAAACATAGATGGTAGATGTCAAAATCCATTGCGGAAATTTGAAATATTGTGTTAACTTGACCATGTGCAGCCGTATAAAGATTAGCAATAAATTACTTATTTTTTAAAGTTTTTAAAATACGATATGCGTTTGTCATTTTATAGCTTAAAAATACTTGAAATATACGAGTGTATAAATATAATAAATACCTTATAAACAGTCATAGTATCTAACACGGTATTTTTTTCCAAGTAGTTATTTCTAACTCTTTAACAGCCGAACACGAACCCAGTACGTGATTTTGAATGAAAATGTAGTCACTAGCACGTAACGAGATTGACTTATTGCATTGACCTTATTGCATTGAGTTTAAAGTATAACGTAAAGTCTACTATATTTTTTTAAGTACCTTCATAAACCTCTTTTCTTCAGATTTAGCTTTGGGACAAAAGAGGACCACTGTCGCTTCTCGTTCGCCGGATTCTTGACAACAGTTACAAGTTCGCTCCATTTGCCATATTTTGCTTCCAGATACCTATCGTAACAAAAAAAAAATGAATAATTTAGTAACTTTATGCTTTTAAGTAATTTTGTTTTAATAATCGACCGTTCTACCTACCTGTACATAACTTGAACATTTGCCGATGCATGCGAAAGACGGTATTGCTTTTGGCTTACATCCAGGATGTCGAAGAACGTGGATCACCGGAGTCATTTGACATTCTTGACCTGTTAGATTAATAGTAAGTTTACAAATGATCATCAACACTCACAGTATTTTTAATTCACTGAGCTAAAAAAAATTCAGGATATAGTAAATCTGTCAAACTGTCACCAAAATTACCACCACGGGTGTTTCACCGTGATTACAGCCGAACATAAAGTTTACAACAATTTTAAATATGTACGTAGTTAAAGCTGTATACGTATAATCTACAGCACTTTTTCTTATAGTTTGCTTTCGATACCACGGCTACCCATTGTGGAAGTGAGTCAATGATAATGGGCCAGTTTATGGCCAGTTCGGTATATGGGTATGGCCATACACTGAACTTGGCTGAACAAGGCTATTCGTCTTTCTCGCAGCACCAAGGATATGGATTTAATTTACAATAAATTTCAGAAGACAGGAAATGGGACCTGCTCACCTGAGGACATAATTTGAATTTCTTGCGCTTTCACTGAATTATCGTGAATATGACACATACTTAATATCAAGGAGAAAAATAGAATTTTACAATTGAACATTTTTGTATCTGTGAATTCTTTAATACACAGAAATTTCATAAGTAAGAATCAGTTCCAAACGGTGCCACAGTACATCTGGGTAAAATCTAAGAGTTCCCAACATTTATAGTGATCCATACTGGGGTCACATCGGGCTGCTTGTAGAGAAACAACGAAAGTCATTTAAAGAGTTAACCCATTACATGACGCTCCCACTGTGCTGACATGATTGTTAAGTACTTTACTAACTCGGTTTTATTTTACACTGGTCCATATAAATGTAGAAGCCATTTAAACGATTCGTGTTGTATATTTATTAAATAACTAGCTTTTGCCCGCGACTTCGTCCGCGTGGTATAGTAAATTTAGGTAGCATATATATTTTCCAAAAAACGCTGTTGATTTTCTAGCTGATGATAAAATTACCTTAATTTTTATGTTGGAAGATACTACAACAAAAAAAAGCCAACAAATATCCAATATGTTTCAGCACTTTATCTTTGAAAACTTAGAGATATTTGTCCAATCCAATCCAATTTGAAATTAAGATATATAAGAAAAACCGGTTCTGAAGTTTACACAAAACTTAATAGAAAAGGTAATCTACGCAAAATTCTTTGAAAGAAACATTAGCGCAGATTACTTTAGCATAAACGCCAAATTTCTTAGTATATTTTATTTTAAAACTCAATCTTGAGAAAAACAGTGCGGTGTAGAATACTTAACGCCATCTAGTATAGTTCAAAATATATAAAAATATATTTTTTTCCGTAAACGAAATTAATTCCATTTGAATATTTTAAAGAAAAATAAATTTAAAATATTAAAATATCGTTTTCTTGTAAATTACATAATCACCAATTTTTATCGCTATGTATATTATTATTTGTAAATAATAATATATTATTAGATACATGTATTATAATGACAAATCAAATAAATAAACAATGGTTGCCATGGTAATATTTCAATTCTCGATAAAATTTCCACTCCCGTTACCATCAACAGATGGGAATCTTTTCATAACACTTCTTTATCACTACATAGTATAAAACAAAGTCGCTTCGTCTGTTCCTATATCCCTATGTATGCTTAAATCTTTAAAACTACGCAACGGACTTTGATGCGGTTTTTTTTTTCATAGACAGGATGATTCAAAAGGGAGGTTTTTATGTATAATACAAAACCACGCGGGCGAAGCCACTGGCGGAAAACTAGTAGATTATATTTTTCACTTGTCCGTCCGGAGACGCTAAGATGATTACAAATCACGGAAGAGCTGACTCGAGAGCATGCCTCGTATAATTCTAGAAATCTAATTATTTGCTAAAATAGCTTCTTTATTCGTAAGAGTTATGATTTTCAGGTCTGAAAAATACAACCTCGAAATTTAATACGATCATTACGCTATGCTTCGTGATTGTCTTAAAATTTTAACCTATCACGTGACCTAAAGTAGTGAATTATATAGGAACTTATGTTCATATCTCAAAAACTTTTATATCCTCCAGTTTATTTTTATCATCCTCTGGAGCTAGATCGCAATCCTGTCTTTATCATAACCTGCGAGATATCCACAAAAATATACAAATACCCTTTGCTGCTGCACCTTCGCAATGCACTTCTACATTTATCTCACTATACTTAATCAAGTAATTGTTTTTCGTTGCTTATTCACCCTAATTTCTTTAATTTATTATATAACCTTAAATTTAAAATTAATATTATATCACAAAAACAATGCGACATCAGCGCCTCTTACTGAGATTTACGTCGCAACTATTTTACGATATGATCACTTACTCTTGGCCACATCACGAAGAAGTCATACTATCAGCTGCCCATATCGTTAAACGCAAATCACTCATTGCTCTGGCTAGGCCACATCGTGAAGTGGGCAGCAAGATTTTTCCATTTCATGAAATACAAACATTTCATGAAATGGCTAGCCGCATCATGAATTGGTCAATTCTAAGGTGCTTACATAATATGAATGAACAAATGTAATGAAATAGGTTTTGTAAAAATTTATCAACTTGAAAATCTTAGTTTAAGACCTAGCAATACATATCCTCAATGATGTTGCTGCAGCGGTAGATCATGGGGTGCCTGTCGACGTGATCTATACAGATTTCAGCAAAGCATTTGATCGGGTTAATCACAGAATAGGTACTAATTCACAAACTCTCACAGTATGGTATTTCTGGCAAGATCCTCAGTTGGTGTGCATCTTATCTTCTTGGTCGTTCTTCGATGGTTGTAATAAATGGATTCTCCTCTGAGGCATTTGTACTGTCATCGGGCGTGCCCCAAGGGTCACTTTTAGGGCCACTATTTTTCAATATCTTTATAAATGATGTGGCATCATGTTTTATGTACTCCAAAATACATCTTTATGCTGACGACCTGAAATTTTTGTAAAAATCTGGAACACTTTGATGACCACCGTCTGCTTCAGGAGGATTTAAATAGGTTTTCGCTTTGGTGTGAACAGAACCTGATAAATCTCAACAATAAAAAATGCAGCTTTATTCACTTCTCAAGAAGTAAGGCTTCATACTTTAAGCATTACCAATTGAGTGGTTGTGAGATTAAAGAAACTAATTTAGTACGAGACCTCGGTGTTTATATAGATAATAAACTTCGCTTCCATGTACACGTAAATAAAATTGCCAAAAAAGGCTTAAAATTGTTAGGTTTCATTTTGGAAAGGAATTGCAAAGAGTTTAGATATGCTAACAGTAAAATTGTAATTTTTAATGCTTTGGTGTTTTCTACAATGGGATATTGCAGTGTGATTTGGTCACCATATTACGATGTGCATAAACGCCGTTTGGAATCCATACAAAAAAGGTTTTTATGGCACTTGTCATGTCAATATGGGTTGATAAATCGTTTACCATCATATAATTCACGGTTAATGCACTTCAAACACTTGAGCTTAGAATAAGGACGTAAGATAACTGATATTCTTTTTCTTTATAAAATTTTTAATAGCTATATTGATTGCCCTTACTTATTACGTCAAATAAACCTCAATGTACCATACAAAATGGCTCGATCTTCAAAATACCGACCTTTTCGCGTAAAAAGTTTCAGAACTAACTTGGGTCACTTCTCGACAATCAATAGAATACAAACATATTATAATCAACTTTTACACTCGATGGATCATCACAATGATATTGACATGTCATATTCACTATAATACATAGGTTTAAAAATATTTTGTATAATAATTTCAGCTCTGAACTACAGTCTTTCACACGACGGCTGTTAGTGCTAATGATACTCTGTAATTGTATCTATTCGGTCGGATATACCTTTAATTTATTACTATTATTGTTTTCGTGTTTTTTTATATACCTGCTCGGTTCTCAATATCCTGCAGGTGTAAATTAGCTTCTGTACTAAACATCATCTAATGGTTATGTTTACTTTGTTTACTTGCTATAGGTACATGTAGTAACAACCTGTAATTAAAGCAGCACTATTGCAAGTTACTGATATAAGCTTTACTGTTATACGATTGTGGTGTATGTTTTGTTGGTTGTTCTTAAATAAATAAATAAATAAATAAATGTATTATTAATGAAACGAAAAACACAAATAACTGCAATTTCTTTAATACAAACATGAACAAGATTTTAATACTTTTGATTGAAAGCCTGCCCAAAGTTCTTAGATCAAAATAATAGCGGTATTTAGAATATACTTGACATCAGCTGGCTGAAAAGTTATTCTAGGTAAATTTGCTAGGCACAAAAAAGGCATTCAAAAAATTATTGAACTTTTAGAATGGCCTAAATGCGTATCCCATGTTGTCAAAGAAGAGGAAAAAATGAGTAGGCTAGTATATTAATTGACAACATCAGACAAATTTATAATAAATGTTGTTGAAAGTGATAGCGATAGTGAGAGGGATGACGGTGACGATTTATAAAATAAAATATCATAATACACTTATTTGTTTTATTTCTCATGTTCCTTCATCATCACATTTTATTGTTAAAGAAAACTCTCAGATCCTTTATTAATCGTCATTACTGAATTAATTGATTTAGAAATATTTATTTTCCTGATATACTTAGTTTTGATCAAAGTAGTAGTTGTTTATATACTACTATAAACGAGAGGAATCGATTCGGAAATTTTCCATTTCCGTAGCGTATAATTTCGCAACGTCACTCTGTTGTACTTGTCATAACGATGCAACACTGAAATTGTCAAATCTGGAATCGAATTAAATTTCCGACTATAGAGTATCCGGCGATTTTTAAGTAGCCAATAAACAACGCCGAAACTGACCTCGCCCCGCACCACAAATCGGTGAGACGTATTTGTACCAAGAATGAACCGATGCGCTCTCCAGTCTTCTCCATGGTCTGACCATTTTTATCGTGCATTAGGTATGCTAGTATTAGTGATACTTACGCTGTTACAACTGTTCTTTTATTTGATTTTTATTTTCAAAATATTATTTGTTTATCTGTCTAGTTGTATGCGCAATTTATTATTTTTTGTTATGTTTTTCCATCAAACGCCTGAAAGAAATCTGAAAGAAAGAAATTGTTTGTCTCTAGTACATAACTATGAACGTTATGCATGAAAAACATATTTTTACTACAGTTGCTCAAAAAGTGGCGTATTGCAGGGACGTATAGCGTTCGGGATGTGGGCTATTACACACTCTTGCTTTTTTTTACCTTACCCGCACTCGTGCGTTCTGTTTCTTTTTTATTCTTTTTTACTCCCAGCTTTCAAAATAATGTCTATTAATAAGAAAAACCAACGTTAAAGTTTTTACTAAAAAAAAAAAATCAAAAAAGTTTTTATGATTCATATAAATACGTAGCGTAGGTATATTTCTGAAAAAAAACTACCAATTTGTTTCGATATCAAATTTAATGATTTGATTGAATTAGTGAGGTTAAGTTTCATTTCATTTTATCTCATTAAATTTCATTTTCATTTCATATCTAAAAAAATCTACTGAAGACTTGGCTGTATGGGCATAGTTCCCTTTGCCTATCGCGCCTAACTGCGGGTTTAGTTGTTTGTTGCACAAAATGAGTAATTTCGCATTTTCGGTCCTAATTTGTTTGAATTAACACCACCGGAACTCAGTATAATTGCACATAATGCTTCGGAGAATATTTTACCAGAAAAGTCAAAAGTCGCTACATATCTAAATACGACGAATTTATTGCGTGGAAAGAAAAGAAAAAAGCAAATAGTTTTTCAGAAAATGTTATGTTGGCATACTTCTCCGAACTCTCAGCAAAATTAAAACTCCTCACACGTTGAAGAGAACGTTCGTCCATCTACCGACGTTGATAATGATAATTCATCAGATCTAGTTCCATCAACTAGTAAACGCCATTGTATGACATATATACATGAACAATAATACGAAATTAATAATAGTTTGTCTCAAACAGTAAATATGCAACCTAAAACTTCCCCAGTTAGTATAAAAAACTGTCCCAATTTCAATGTAACTCGTTCCGACTCAACCCTCGCCTTCGGCTGCCCGTAGGCTCGGGTAGACATTTATCGGAACTCGTTGCAATGACAGCCTTTCCGCACTTGTAATGAAATATACTAATGTATGTTCGTGTCATTTACTTGTTGTGCAATAAATACTTTACTTAACCGCGTCGTAAACTAATCTTAAAAAGAAGTAAAATTTCATTTCCTTTTGCATCGAATTGTATCCGAAACCACTAAACCTATTTTAAAACAACTGAGCGAAGAAAGTTGAATGAAGATTCCTTAGGGAGTGTAGAGGAGAACTAAGAGAGGATTTTTGAATATTCCATCCCGAAGGGGCTAAATTAGAGGATGGAAGTTTGTATGAAACTTCGTTACTACAAATGCTAGGAGTTTCAAGTTTTGCATACGGGCGAGTTCTTTTTAGGACGTAGGCTATGTGACATTAAGATAGGATTTCACGAAATTTGACCCCTAAGTGGGTAAATTGGGGTATGAAATTTTTTATGGTTTTTTTCTGACTTCTGGACTTTTTTTATCTATTTTTTAAGGACTTTTATCTTTAAGATATGACAGTCCTATCGTACCCTAAATATACATTATCTACAGCTCTAAAATAATGGTTGAGAGATCAATAATCATCGATGACTTACCATGTCGCATATAAGTTTTGCAGTGTTTGCCAATGGTTCACTCAGTAAACTTTGGAAAATGCCTAGTCGGTTTAATTTTAGAGTAGTCATCAGTGTTTGTCGCTCTCTCATATTTCTGTGACACTCCAACAGCAAGTGTTGAACGTCCTCAATTGTTCCACAAGTATCACAATTAGGCGAAAAACTAGACCACGCGGGCAAAGTCGCGGGCAAACGCTAGTATAATATAATATTAAACAAACTACGGCAATTACATAGGAAAAGACTATGTGATTGCCGGTTTTTAAATGAAATAAGTTAACGCACTTTTTTCTATATTTTTCAAAGATCTCTCGGGTATTGAATTTTTCTCCACTAAGTAGTTATCTAAATGCTGGAAAAAGTCTGTATGGGAAAGGTCTGGTACGTATAGTAGATGATTTTCGAAAATAGAACCGACTAATACTTATCTCAAAGCGACTTATTCAAGAAACTGCTATTGAATTCAGGTGCCTGTCATTTCATTAATAACCTACAGAAAACGTCCGCCCGACTGTAATAGCAGTTACTTGATTAAGTCGCTTTTGAGATAAGTATTATTCATTACTTTTTTAAGTCTCAAGTTGGTTCTTTGATAAATGATATTATTTGAAAAAAATATCATTTATCAAAAGTAATAAATACTCTTATGAAGAGCTCGTAAATTTCTTTCGCTCGTTCTTCTTGACAGGCGAATGTCCTGTATGGGTGATACAAAATATCTGGACGATTCAATTGTTTTATTTATTACTAGTGGACGCCCGCGACTTCGTCCGCGTGGAAGTCGGTATCCCGTGGGAGTGAGAAGTTTTCCCAGTAAAAAGTACCCTATGTGTTATTCTGATGTATAACCTATATTGCTGTAAAGTTTTATCCAAATCCGTCCAGTAGTTTTTTCGTGAAAGAGTAACAAACATCCATACATCCATACTTACAAACTTTCGCCTTTATAATATTAATAGGATTTGAGTAATTTTATTTATTATTTGAGTAAAGGATTATAAAATCTGATAAAACATCATCCCACAGACACATTTTTTTATCTATGAAGGTAATTCTGTGCCCATAGAATTATTTCGCTTCTGAGCCATGTTTGAAAGTTGTTTTTGAAGGTTTCCACGAATCGTTTACACATACTTCACTAAAATTATACAGAAGACAAAGGAGTATCCTTTGGTAATTTGTTTAGCGTTTGTTGACTATCACAAAGACATTGAACAGTCAAGACGTGAGCTTAAGGATTCAAATCCGGTCTCATTTTCAATCCAGCCAGATCTGTAGCCTGCGGCCGAGAAGGCTGCATACTGTGGCCGACAACTTCTATAGTTATTTCCTCGTGTACTCTAGTAATTGTTTTGAGCACATTTGAGAGTCACCTATTTGAAATAAAAAAAAAAATAAGTTCATTTACGAAAATTCAAATTGTTTATTTTATTTAAAAATATATAAGGCCTTGATCACATATTTAATACATTTCATTCAATTAGTTAAATTGCTAAGGTTGATTCGATTCGCGTATGAACAAAATTATCTTCATGACAAATTCCAAAATAACGAGTTTCACTATCGACTGAAGTCTCCACATTTGTAACATTTGCAGTCATCAGGCTCTCGCAAACGGACTTCCATTATGGCGCGGTCTTCATCTTCGAGCCTCAAGCCATCAGGGTCGTAGCAATGTGTAAGTGTGACTAATCTCTCCCGAAGAAAGTTTTCTCGGCAGCAGAAACATTCCTGTAAATGCCATTATCCGTATTTAAATTCTTATTCTAGCTTAATAACCAAAATATTGTAACAAACACTTATTACTAAACTAATAATAAACGGTTATTTAACCTTATACACGGAGAGCTCGTGACAAAAATGTTCAAGAGCTTTTAAAAGCCAGATTCTTCAGTATGTTGTACTACTATACATCACTCAGAAATCGTAGCACATATTAAAGTTGCTTTAATAGTTTAATGAAAAAATATTCATGATATAAAGGAGACTAAATTGCACAGATTACACAATCGTGAAAGAGTTTGACAGACCAAAGTTTAACCTAAATAAGGATAAATTTTAAAAATTGGCGTAAAAAAAAAATACCTTTAAAAATCCTGTTGCAGTGGATACAGATGGCTGGACTTGGCTACTGCACATACCCTCACACTTATTTACACTTACTTCTCCACTACATGATCTGATGAGCCTACCCATGTCATCGTATTCCTCTGTAAATAATTAATATTCAAATGTCAAATTGTTTTCATGGATATAATGCTCACGACGTCTTTTTCATGGAGGACGGTTAACTACCTACTTAATAAGTTGACGAAATCGATGATAGTACCTAATGTTATCTCTAAGCCGTAGCCTAGCCCCATCTCGAGTGGATCTATCGAGTGAAAACGAAAACTGAAAATGAGTACCCGCACGTGGTGACACGCTGCGCGAGCTAAATAATATTCTGGCATTACCTAATATTGCATGCCTTCATGACATAATTTTATACCAAAGTATTTTGGTTTTCATTGATCTGTTTGGTTTCCATTGATCGGTAAGGTAGGTAACAATAAATAGATACTCATGTACTTTTTTTAAACTTACCCTTGACAACGTGAATTTCAGTAGGCATCGTCTCACAAGTTTCTTCAGCTAAACAGTTTAATGTTATTAAAAATAAGAGTTCGAGAACAAATATGTTAATAATCCTCTTAAAACTCATAATGAAACCGGTTAAATGAATTTGATAAGTAAGCTCAGAATGAAAATTATTTGATGCGACCTGACTATTTATATGGTAAATAGTAGGTCAGATCAAGGAACGGGGCTGAAACCCCAGCAGTGTTATCAGCAGGGAATCAAGAACATAATTGAAATGTCTTGTACCCTATATTAATAGTATCGATGTTGAATAGGTAATTATAAGGCAAATTTTAATAGGTAAGTATTGTTATTATTCATTAAAATTTTATTTCTGTGTTATTTACTTTAAATGTTCAATTATATAGGTCTTTAATTTTGAATTTGTTGCATAACATCAAAGACTTGCTTTGATTGACATGTGTTAGTTTATAAAATAAAGGAAACACAATTTTGTTCTAACTTTTCTATCATGTCTGGCCAACTGGCTTGCCTAAATGCACTTGGGAATATACTCACTGACTGGGAATTGTATTTTTAATTTATAAATAAATAAATATTAGATAATTATCATATACATTGCACAGATTCTAATGTATTAAGAAGTGTCTGAGATAACGAAGATAACACAACAACCAGAACTTAGATTTCCTGATTCTTTGGAAATTATCATTAACAAGGATGAAGAAAACAATTTCTGGTTTTCTTGAATATATGAATTTGGTGCAGTGATTTGTGCTGAGTTTGATATTTATTTATTTAAATATATCGCCACGCCCTATCATTAATGTGGGATCTGCATTTTAACGATTTTTGTTTTTTTTTTGTATAAAACCTCATAAAAGTGTGTAAGGAATAATATCACAAAAAAATAATTGTTGATTTTATTATAATTACGAAGATAATTACGTTATTAATGTCGGTAGTGTCGCTTGTGTACGTACAAAAATGAAGGTACTCACTTACAGTCAATTTTGATCGGACATAACCGACAAGTGGATGTGTCGATCTTGCGTCGATCTGCCAGTCATAGAGTATATTACATAGTTAATGTCGGGAAAAATGCACGTAGGTTTTTTGGAGCGCCAAATTGTTGTAAAACATTACATACACTTTGATTTCAAAAGATATAATGTCGCTCGACCGCAAAGAAGCAGATCCTCAAGGATTTTAAGCCATATTTTACCAAAAATAGCAGTTGTTGAAAATGGTGCATGTAATGATACAGGTAATATTACAAAGTTATTAACTTTATATAAAGACTTGCCATTCATATTTTATTAATAAAATAGATTTCAAATTTATAATTTTGTATAGCAAATTATTTCCATTTTTTTGTTATAAGAATTAACAAAATATACTTAGTTTTCCGATCAAAAACTTCATACCTACCATATCCGACTTATTGTACAGAATTAAATCTAGTCAAAAATGTTAAATGTGCCACATCGGACACGTAGTATTGAATTTAATACAACAAAAAAAGTTGGATCCACCACATCCTGCGTAAGATAGTAAAATATATCCGTGTAAAATAGCTTCACGTGACATTGTAACGTATATAAAGTAAAATAAATTAATCTATTATATTTGTTTAATGTATCGTAGAATAAAAAACAACCATGCCTAATGTCGTAATCCTAACCCTTAAAATATCGTTTTTATTCAATTTTTCACCTTTAAACCGCTCTCCTGTAAAGTTGCATATTTGTAGATACTACATTAATGATAGGGCGTGGCGATATTCGGGAATACCAACAGCACATGATTTTATATGTAGACATCAAATCAAATTGCGATATTCGGTTATTAAGGGTGACTTTCGCAATGACCGTTCATAGGATGGATGACCAAAAAATTTTTGCCTCAATCTCCTCCGTGCTTCGGTAGGCTCGTTAAGCCATTGGTCCTGGCTGGATCTGCAAATGTTAACATCCATCAATTAACACTAGGCTCGCGTGGTGGCTTATGGCATTGCTCATCCTCCCTATTCGTGTTAATTACATAACCGTTTTCAATAAAAGGAGGAGGTTTTTCAGTGGCGGCTCTAGCTACAAATTATATAGTTTTACTCTAGCAAAAGTGGCTTTTACAGTCATTTCCGATATATAAAGATAGTCATTTCCGTTCCTTTTAACTAATATATAAAAAAAAAAACTGAAATTTGCATAGTTTGAAAACTTATCGACTGTCATAGAGAAATCAAGAAAGTACCATAGCGATATCTAGTTTGATTTCGGGAACTATTTTTTTTTTAAATACTTCCTCACTTGACTGTATATATATGTAGTTTTTTTATGTTTGCTCGCGGATAACTTCGTCATATAAATGTAATCAAAATCGAAATGGAAGTTTTGTGTTTATAACAAAACAAAATGTTTTTCCTTTTCTAAAACAAATATGTTTATATCAGCGAAAATAAAATAAAACAGAGCGTATTTTACATTCATTCAAAATCCGTATGGAGGAATTTCTATATTCAAAAAATTTTATATAACTAATAATCATGATCTTCTTTTTTAAAAAATGGAACTGACTTTCGAACTTAAAAAAGTGAGAAATGGTACTTGTTTATAAAAGCAACTACATTATTCAAGATACTGCTATTGAAGTTGGGCGCTCATTATTTTATTATCTACGGAAAACCCCCGCCCGACTTCAATAGCAGTTTCTTAAATAATGAAGTCGATAAGTATTACTTTCCACTTTTTTAAGTTAGAAGTCGGTTGTATTTTTTTGTTTATTTCTTGTATATGTGTTTGGAGACTGATTTTAGTAAAGCAGTGGTTCTTAGTCTATAAATAATATATTTATTTATAGATACATTAAATTTAAAATAATATTTGATTTATTTAGACTTAGGCGCAGAGGAATAAACCAAGCTTGAAAATAGTCCCTAGTGATGAAAAGGTTAAGAACTAGTGGTGTATTATAGCATTAGATATATTTAAATTAATTTAAAATTTAGCATTACACTTCAAAATTTTTGCACGACCTATCTATCTAGCAATATAAAATTATTAGTAAATAGGTTGTCTGGAAGAAATCGCTGCTTAACTATTGCAGTCGGAGGACCATTGTGGCCACATTGAGGTCCCCCGGCTGCAATTAGAATTTTGTTCAGTCAAGCCATGTGTCTTTTATTATTTGTTTTATTTTAGAAGATTTATTTTTAAATGAATACAACAAAGACAATAGGGTATTTGACACTTTTCTGAAAACTATTTTAAATCGTTTTTTGCTACATTATAAACACACTGTCTTAATATTTCAATAGAATCTTTTGTATTTTTGGTGAAAATAATTGTTAAAATTTAAATAGCCAAAAGCGCGCGAAAAACGCTGCTCTATGTAATGGCGCTGGTCGTGACGTCACAGGTCAGTAAATATGTCAAATCGATAAGTAACAACTGTCATTAGAGTAAATTAGGGATGCTCGATATTGGAAAAACACCGATATTGACATCGAAGTCAACATTCGATGAAAACCATCGATGTTCCCCAAACATCGATTGCATTGCTGTTAAAGGAATTGACCAGTTTTAGAAAAAAGCCTCTCTGAAGCCGTGGAAGTCGCTGTGCAACATAAATATTTTAATGCAATCTTTTTTAATGTAGGATAGGTGGATTCTACCCCTTAACATAAAAGTAATGGAATAAGACAAGTGTCATAAAAAATCACGCGGAAGTTTCACGGAGAGAGAACGAGCCCAACGAGCATAAAGTAACTTTTTTTTATATACATAAATGACCTTTTTCCGTTTTACACAGAAATTTTGCGGGATAGTGAGAAACAGTTTTTAATAGTTTTCTTCCCTCCTTGTTCTAAAAGTACAACACAAAGCAAACGTCACAAATTGTACTAATAAATTAAATAAAAAATATCGCAATAAATATATGATAGTGCCATGTAGATTATAATGTATTGTTATATATTTTTAATATGTTTACAAGACGCAAAAAGATAGGTATGTAAGAAATAGACAAGTTAGTATTAAGGTTAATGGGACGGGGGATTTTAGATGGAAGTTGCTTATATGAAGTAGGTTGTTTCAGACAGTTGAAGAGGATGGGATCAGTGGTACCTTTTTCGATTCCGCACCCGCACGTGGAACTATCTAATGTATGGATCTAAGACCGGTGAATAAAGTAACTTATAAGATACCAACGAGCGCTGAAGTTGACAGATTTATTTCTAATTTCCTGGGAAAATGCAAGCAAAGAAAAAACTATTTGTTTGCGTACTCCAGTTACGAGTGCAACCGGTGACATCTAGTATAAAATAGTTGAACTTGATATACGAGATCATCTGGACGTTAGATGGCCCAAAGGGTATCTTGACATTTTATTCATAAACATCGATGTTTTCGATGTTTATGTTCGAAACAGGCATCGGCACATCGATGTTTTCGAGCCAAACATCGATGTGCCAATGTTATCCAATTTACACAACATCGATGTTTATTCAACATCGATGAATAATCGATCATCCCTAGAGTAAATTGAAATAGTAATTTAAAAGAGAAATTGAAGTCGTAGTGCGCATTTTTTACGTTTTTTATTTTCCTCTGCTCTGGTTTTCTTTAAAAAGTGTGCTACAAGTGGTGCGTAGTGCCACAATGTACTAATACTTCTATAAATAACAAACAAACTTCGAGTCTAGAAGAAAATAGATTCACAATCTTTGTTTTTTCTTTGTCATTAACATTTTACGACTCATTTATATTTGTTGACAGGGCTCGCACT